TCTTGGAAGCAGGAGTAGCTATAATTAAGTCCAAAAAAGACTCTTATCTTTCCCTCTGGGCTGTACAGTTGAACAAGTCCTATTTGATGGGCAGTTGCTCCTCAGCCCCTTGGGCACCAGCCCTGGGAAAAGGGGCTCCCAGGTAAAGCGGGGAGGAAGGAGGCTGAGGAGAAATGGGGCATCAAGCCTGGCAGGAGGAGGGGGCTCTCTAAGAGGATGGCATGCCTGAGGGCTCCAGCCCCCAACACTCCAGCCCATCCCCTTCCAACATGCAGAGTCCTTACCCTCCAGGTGTCGGCCTCTGAGGGATGCCCACGATAGCCCCAGGTCCCTTATGTTGTCTGTCTGTTATCTCATGTTGTCTGTCTCATGTTGTCTTCTGAAGCTAAGGATGTTTAACTTAGTGAAATTTGAAGGTACTAGTGGAGGGGCCGCTCCCCAGGGGAGTATTGTCGCCAGCCCCACTCACTGCCAGACCTCTTTTTTCTTGCCTTTTCTTGTAACAACAGTTCCCGGAGCTGAGGGAAATTGATTGTTAAGTGAAACTCTCTTATAATTGCCTCTGAAATGCCCGCTGTTATCATGATGGACTTGGCTATGAGCCTACTGTGGTTCCCTCCAATGCCATGACCAAGATGGGGAGACGTCGCAGGATAGGCAAGGCACTGTCAGTGACTTCATAGCAGTAGCTCCTCTTGGGCAGTCCTCACCCCTCAAGAAGTGCTGAAGAAAAGAGACACACATCTGGGGTCTCCCACCTGCCAGACTCATCATAGGCCTCCACCCAGGTACAGAGACATCCTGACCTTGACTTAGCAGACATTCATTGTACACCTACTGGATGCCATGGCCAGGTGACTGTAAACTTGAGAGCCACTACATACTACCCCCACCAAACTCAGTGTTCAAGGGGAAGATAGACACAAGTTTCCCTGAGTGCTATGATGAGGACAAGTCGGGGCCTGGCAGAGGTTAAAGGATGAGAGAGTGAACCAGGCTAGAGGAGTCTGGATGGGAGTGGATAGGAGGGGGTAGCATGTGCAGGAGCCTGACAGCAGGAAGATCAGGGACCGCAGGTGGCTCCAAGAGCAGAATTCAGAGTCCAAGAAGAGAGCAGCTCCCCGGGGAACCAGCACACGGGGTCAGGGCTGGGAATGAGCACATCTTTCCCAGACAATCAGGCACCCCAGAGACAAGACCACGCTGTGACTCCAGTTTGACCCCTGCTGTGCTGGGCATCATGGTAGACTCTCCCCTCATCTCTGGGCCTGTTTCCTTTTCCATCCTGCCTGCCCAGGCCCATCAGGAAGACATGGGAAAGGGTTATTTTTTCAGTGGGAGGGAAGTGCTAGGAGGATGAAACTTGGAGCAGAGTAAGCATGGCCTTACAGCCATGCCTGAACAGATCTGGGGTCTATGAGGAACCCATATAGGAACCTAAGGCTCTGAGTACCTGGCCTGGACCAGGAAGGTGGGGCTAAGTTCAGAAAGGTCCCTGCCTGAGGACATACCCTGCCTGGCAAAGGAGAGGGGGAGCCCTTGGGTTGCACAAGGGCAAAAGGAAGTTTTCAGAGAGGATATCACAGTATGTATCAGTGGCCCAGTCTGAGAGGGCTGACCTGTCAGAAAGAACAAATAAGAGAGAAAGTCCCAGATGTGGGCAAAAGTCTACAGGAGAAATCCCACTGGTCAGGCTGCCTAAAAGCATTGAAGGAAAGGGATTGCCACGAACCTACCCACTCTCTTAGTGGGTGCAGTCACTATCTCCAATTCACAGAGCAATGAAGGCCAGAGAGGGGAAGCCACTGCTTGAAGAAGCCACTTTGAACCCAGGCCAGGGCTTCAGGCTGTGATCTCCACTCAGGGCCCCTTGTGCATACTGTGGGTGGTCCTGGGCCTCTCACCTCTCATCCTCAGCCGAATGGGACCTTGGGTAATTGTAGTCTATCCCCTCCACCCCAACCAGCTGCCTGGCCCTTCCTCCCACACCAACGAGCCTGCCTGTTTAGCAGTTTCCACACGTCCAGCGCCCGGGGATGGACTGATTGATCTGTAACACCGAAAAAATAATAATGGCTTGATCGTTACTGAGGATTAAAAGTAATCCTTTCACTGTGGCTATTGCAACTCCGTTATTCACGAGTCAGCGGGCCGACCCAGGCCTTTGAGCCCACGGGACTCCGTGAGCTCAAGGAGGCTTGGGGCTAGGGCCCTCCCTCTCTGGGTCTCCCTCGCCTTTTCTTCTAGGTTTTTGGAAACAGAGGGGCCTATGGCCTGTGGCCTGCATGTTCTTGTAGACTTTGACTCTCACCCTGAGAGAGTGAAGAAGCTGGCATTTCCTGGCCAGGGGTGGATGTAGAGATGAAAGGGACAGTAGCCTGCTTTGGAGATTTTTATACGAGTGTCAATTTGGTGCCTGAAGTCCCATCTACCCTGTGGCTTTTCTATGGCTAGAATTTGACCCACTCTGACCCAACTTCATCCATATGAAAGGCAGTTGCCTCCACAGACACTTACAGAGACTCCAGGCCCACTCTTAGGTCCCTGGGAAGGTAATGGGCCACTGGGTAAGGAAAGAGGGGACACAGTGATTGTTCAAGTGTCACCCCTTAAATGCATCTTCAGGGGCTGCCTCTTCATGCTTTACAGTTCTTCCAGGCCAAGTGCTGAGCTTGGTACTGGTACATAGTAGGCATTCAGTTAATAGTAGTGATAAATGTTGTTAACTAGACACGCTGCACTATAATGTCCTCCATAGAAGGACACTGCAGGCTTGTGAACTGGGGACTTCATCCATCCCTGGAGTTTGGGGTCTGGAGAGTATTTTTTATTTAGGCCAAGAGGAAGCCCCAAAATGGAAATGAAAGATAGGAGTCAGGCACAGGTGAGCCCTACAGGACCTCAAGAAAGCATTACCTTCTACATGCAATAAGTGGGGACAGGGGACAGCCACACAATCACATTCTAAGATGAGGTTTCAGGTATTAAGCAGGGAATAGATACAGAAGGACAAAAGAGGACATAGGTTCCTGGTACAGGACAGAGCCTGAACCAATGGGTGAACAGTAGGTGGTTTGATGATGTCAGATGTGGAAGGTAGGAGGCAGAGGTTCCCAGGTGGCTAGGCCTGTTTCAAGAGGAGGTGGTTGGAGTTCAGATGCATTGATTGAGTATCATCCCAAAGAAATGCTCGGGTGAGGAGCAGGATTGGAGGCAAGTTATGTGAGGCCTGTGGCCCCTGAAGCCCCAAGATGTGAGACTGGGTTAGGGGGTCAGAGGATAGTATAAGTCTCACCCAAGCAGGTCCTGCAGCAAAAGTGGGAAGAGGACAGGAGAAGGAGGTGGAGGCCAGGAGAGGGTCAGCACTGTGAGATGAGGGGCTTTGACTCAAGAAGAACTTTCTTACCCTGTTCCCAGACCCCAGCCTAATAGACTTCAATGCTCTTGGCCTGAGGAAGAGAGGGGGCCAAGCCCAGCAGAAGTGGAGATGGCTCTGACAGCCCCTCACGTTGCTCCAGGAGAGTGGTAGCCTCAGTTCCACATGAGGCTCCCTCACTCCCCCCTGCCCCACTGTTCCATGCTTCAAAGAAGAAAAAGCTGGTCTCCCATTTTTCCCTAACAGGCAGCTGTCAGGCTTTATTAGACCCTCTCTCTGGGGCCCGCGTGCCACATCAGGCCTGAATTGATGGATGGGGATGAGGTGTCTTGAATAACAAGGGACCAGGGCCTTCTGAGGATTGCTGGAGGCCTGGAAGCAAGAATGTACTCCACCCAGAGGATGAGTGGGGTAGGGTGAGGGTACAGCTTCTTTGGGCATGGTGGGCCCCGCAGCGGGTGGCCTTGGGACCTTAGTTATGAGCTGAGCAAGGTGGATGTGATGATGAGAGCTGGCCTAAGGCCACAGCCTGACCCAGGCTCTCTGTGTGATCCTAGGCGGGTTACTGGCTAGTCCACGCTTGGGTATCCTCATCTGAGGAGAAGCCATAATGGCACCATGTCAGACACATTGTGAATAGTAACAGATGAACATGTGTCATGGCTGCAGGAGGGCAGAGCATGTGGTGAGTGGCTAGCTCATGATATTGATTGGAATTAGGATTAACAAGACATCAGTGAACTTAGCTCTACAGGAAGCCTCAGAGGCCAGACTCAGTTCCATCCTTGGGAGCCTCAAGACTTCCTGAGGGATAGGATCCACGGTGCCCAGAGGGTGGCCAGGTTCTGGTGCCTCCTGTACAAGCCTTTCTGATATGCTGAGTTCCCACAGCACTAAGCCTCCTGCTCCTAGCTACTCCTGCTCTAGTGATTCTGCCTGTTTGTGTCAGGGTCTCCAGACTAATCTGTGAAATACAGGGCTGTATCTGCCACATCTCCACGCGTCAGCATAGTCTGGAACTGAGCGTGGCCAGTGACAGGTGTAGCACAGACGGGCACACAGCTATGCTCTCAGGGTCACTTTGCTCCCAGGCATAGAAACTGCTGGAACCAGCACAAAGGATGGGACAGGCTCTCATGGATAGAGGGCTTGACACCCCATGAGAGGGGGCTCAGGAAGCTTGAGAGAAGGTCAGTGGGCCTGGGTGAGCAGAAATGGGCTATGGGCCTAAGCATGCTGAAGTAAAGGTGCACCTGAGACACTGTCACTTGTGGGGTTCAGCCTTAACTGGGGAGGCCAACCCTCATGTAGGTGGCTTGGAGTACTCTCAGGCTTCCACAGGCCTGAATGTGCCAGCCATCCTCCGGGCAGGATACACTGCTGGGCTGAAGAGCAGGGAGTCTCACTGAGAAGCCACTCTGGGCATTCTGTACAAGCATCCCTTCTCCTGTGGAAGTCAGCAGTGGCCAGAGAGGTTCCCTCACAGCTAGCTGAGCTGAGGAACCTCTGAGGGTCTGGTGGGATGAGGGAAAAGGAAGCCCTGAGCTGTCTGGCTTCAGGGAGTGTTGGACATGGAGCAGGCAGCCCACCTCAGCCTCTAACTTCCCTGTCCTCTGTCCCTCAGAGACTGGCAGATGCTGCTGAGAACTTCCAGAAAGCCCACCGCTGGCAGGACAACATCAAGGTAAGAACCACAGCATCCTCACCAACATGTAGGGTATACTACTCCCAGTAAGGTGAAGGTGAAGGCCAGGGAGCGTGTTCTCCAGACATACTGGGGATGGTGCATTTAGGGGTAGTAGAAGATTATATCAAAAAATCCCAGGCTCCCCCTCAGTTCTGGACCATGCACAACTGATATGAGCTACCATCTCACTCCAGAGGAGTCATTGGACAGCCTGTGAGTAGACAGGATGCTCCAAAGTGACCTTCCCAAAAAATGGTGCCCCAATTCTTGGAAAGCCCCTGAGTCAAAGAGATCTCTTGATTTTAGGACTCATCAGAGACTTAAAAGCAGTAGGTAACATGGAAAAGATGCTGAGAGAAGGTGGTGTGTGTAACTCCTTCCCCACCCTGAATAGCAGCCTTCCTCCCAAAAGGCCCTTAGGCTGGGCTCAGGAAACAAAGCTGTCAGTCACAAAAGCTTCTCCTTCCCCCTTGAGAGCTCTGAAGGGGCTCAGATTCTTTGGAGTGGAATGAGAGGCATCAGAAGCAGAGGGCCCAGGGTGCAGGAGGGGGAAGGGCAACCTTGGCAACCAATTTGTGACTGGGACTGGACACACCTGTCCCCTTTCTGTCAGGTCAATGTCAGGATTCCCCCCTCAGTTCCATGGGTGATAGAACCCTCAGGGACCAGACCAGTTGGCAGGGCTCCTGGTGGTCTCCTTGCTAAACACAGGGAAGGGCAGGGTGGGGTGGTCTGCCCCGGGAACCAAGAACCAGTAAGGAGGATAGGATGGGCCAAGCACATTCAGGTCAGGCCCATCTGCCCCAGGGATAAGGTCATGCTATTATCCGTACTTACCAAATGAAAAACTGGGCACAGAGTGGTTAGACCTACCTGAGGTTACCTGTTGGTGGCAGAGATTCATAGTCGGCTATCAGGTACCAGGGGGCTCATACCTATGATCTAGGCTTCTAAACCTATTGCTTGTTCCCCATCCTCCCAGGCCACCCTGAGCCTGCCCTGCCTTGCCCACCCAGTAACTTTCTTCCTTTCCTGCCTGGTGGGTGCTGAGTGCTGCCCTCAGAGTTCACATGGGGTTGGACACAACAGAAGATCAGGGGTGGGGATCAAACCCAAGGCCTCATGCATGCTAGGCAAGCACTCTACCCCTGAGCTACACCCCCTAGTCCCAGGTGACTTTTTAAGATGAACAAACAAATAAGCTAGTGACTACCTGAACCAGTCCCCCTCCCCAGGAGTCTGAGGACTGACCCTCCTCTCCCTCCCCATCACTCAGCCCCTTGATCAAAAATGTGCATGGCAGCAGCCATTGGGTCTCACTCACCACTCAGACCAAGCTGTCACCTCTAGATAACCCCTTTGTGACACCTCTACCTGCAAGACCCAGCCCTGAGCCTGTATTCAAGGGCCAAGGATCTGGCAGCTCCTGCCTCCCTTACCAGCCTTGCTACCCGTTCCCCTCGTCCTGTGTCCCACCACACCAAACACTTCACTCCAAGCCCCTTCCTGGTCCTGGGCCTTTGCTGATCTTTGCCTAGAAGGCCCTCCATTCCTCCTGGAGGCCCAGCTTATCTGTCCCTTCCTTGTAAAGCTGCTTTCTCTCCCCAGCCCATCAGCCACTCTGTCTTCTGTGCATCTAGGACCTTCTGCTCCTGCTCAGTCCCTCCTTTGTTTCCAACCATCAGATTCTTCCCCTCCTTCACAGACAGACTTGTGGATCAGGCACAGGAGTTAGGGAATAAGGGAATGAAAAGACCTGCCCTCTGCCCAACTTTCTCTACTTCCAAGTCCTAAATGGGGACAAAGAGGTTGCCATGGCTCCAAACACATTTTTCTCTTTTCGATTCTGCAGAAAACCCAAAATTTCCTTAAGTTGTTCTGCCCGATCCTTGGCCCCTAAATTTCAGCCACTCCCTGAGGCAAGAACAGCTTATTCCAGGCCAGTCAGTGTGAACATCAAAGAGGCCTATCAAGAAGGAAGGCCGGGGCTTAGGGACACCCAGGAGGTGCTGAGAGATGCTGTTCAAAGACCCACTTTCACAGCAATGGCTTCATTGTCCCCATTTGTCCAAGAACTGGCTCACATTAGTATTATCAGCTCAGCCATAGCAAATGAAGTGGTCACCGAGCTAGAGGTGCCATGTCAATGATGGCAAGGATGCATCTTTTGCCATACCCACCCTTGGCCTCTGGTTGCTTCTGTCCTGAGATGAGGCAAGAGTGGGCTCTGGATGGCCCCTCTCTCCCCAGCTTTACCAGAGGTGCCACAGCTCTAGGTATGACCACAGGCAGCACTGACCACAAGGCCAGCAGGCCCTTGTTCGCCTGATGCTGCCCACCCTCCTCCCACAGTCCATCAGTGTGCCTGCCAGCCTGTCCCTCCAACAGCCAGAGATGCTCAGGTAGGGGGTTCTAGTCATGCTTTCCTTACTGGCTTCAGGGTCACTGCTCTTCCCAGGAAGCCCTGCAGCTGCCATGCCTGCCAGGCTGTAAGGCATTAGTGCTAATGTAGGCCCATTAGCCAATAGTCTGACCAGCGGGGCCCAGACTGCCAAGGAGCGCTGGCAGCGGAGCTACAGGCAGGAGCTGCCCACCCCAGGGGGTGCATGGACTGAGGCTGGAGAAGGTGTGGTGTTCTGTTCCTTACAGGCAAGCCATCTACTCCTGAAACTACATCTTCTCCAATGACCTTCAAGAGGTGACAAAGAGCCATGTTCCTCCCTTGCACTCAGGAGAGACAGCTGGCCTGAGCCATATTTCCACTTCTAGAACAGACCCTTTCCCCAAGCCAGGCCTTCTCAAGGATGCTCTTATCCTTACTGCAAAAGGCAAGACCTAGCCCCCCTTTTTCCAGCCCAAGCCTTAGGATTGGCCTCCACTTCCCACAGTCCTCCCCCATTTGAAGCCTCCAGAGATGGTACCAAATTCAGTACCCAGACTAGGGTCTCACTAGGCTCACCTGTCTGTCCCACTCACAGTTCCTCTAGGACAGGAGCAGTTGAACCTGACTCAGTGCCATCCACTACCTGTCCATGCTGCCTGTGTCCCCCACCAGGTGTTCCACTGACACTGACGAGGAATGGTTTTCTTGCCTCTGAGATGAGGAGGGTATGCCGTTTGGGGCAGAAGGAATGCTCTGCTCGTGGAGCCAGCCTGGAATTCACTGTACAATTCACTCCACAATCAGGAGAGTGGCCTTCCCTGTGTCAATAGCACATRGCAGGACTCCGTGCAGACCTCTGAGGAGCAGATAATAATGGTATAATACATCAGCCTACACACAACCCCACTAACTTCAGTCAGGGACTTAGGGGACACTGGAGTCTTCAGGATCAGAGCTGAGAGGAGATCAAGAGGACAATGTCAGAACATAAAAATGCTCTATACCCCTTCCTAGTCCCAGGCCATGACCCCAACTGGTCATGGTAGAGGCAGAGAAACTGTGGCCACAGCCCTGGCCAGGCCAGACCCTTGGACAGTAGGGAAACTGTGGCCCTGATTAGCAAGCAGCACATCCCATGGCCCCTCAGACAGGCAGCAGGTGCTCTAGTACCCATAACATTTAGGGCAGATGAAGATAGGCCACCTGCTGGACCATGCCTGGTGCCAGTGCCACACTATTGCCAGCAGTGTGTGCCACTTAACCTCCCCCACTCCAGAAGAGAGCCGGTCCAGGGTATGAGTGGGGAAGGAGGAGAGGCCACTGGCCCCATGGCCTCAGTGCCAACATCAGAACCTACAATGAAACCGTGCTCTGGGAGTCAAATGAAAAGAACAGCCCTGCCCTAGGGAGTCTAATGTGGTTGATACAGCCCTGCCGGAGGGCGTCATGGTAAAGATGGCTCTGCCTGAGGAATCTAGATGGAGGGCTGTGATGGCAGGGCCAGGCCAGAAGAGTCGACTGGATAGGACAGGTGGCCTCTCCAGCCTGGGGTTCTGACCTACCATAGGGCCCACTGCCCGCCTCCCTGCCAAGCTAGCGACAGACGGCTCTCTCAGAAAACAGTCCTCTTGGCTGGACTGAGCTGGCAGTTAGCCAGGGCAGGAAGACCAAGTGTCCTCACTGGGGCAGCTGGGTGGAAGGCCTAGGCCCTGCACTGAAGGCTGGTAGGCAGGCAGCAGTCATGTCTGGCCAACTTCAGCAGCCACCTTCCAGAGCACCAAACCCAATGACAATTGCTATTCCCCCACTTGTCCCAGGCTTTCTCCCTCGCCCTGTGTCCCAGCTGCCAACATTCCTGGTGCCTGCTTGGGCTCAGCTCCTGCTCAGGAGCAGATGTGTCATATACTCACATGTACCCATACCTGTCATCTATGTACACAGGTTCATGTTGGGGAATGATGTGTGTCACCTGGAAGAGGGGGTGATTCCCCCACTCCTTGCCTAGTTTGGGCAGAATGACCCCTAAAAATATCAGGTAACAGATGGGTGTAAGCAGTGTGGACCTCAGATATTAAGGATATCTGTTTCACTCCATCCAGGGGTCTTTATACACTCAGCCCATCCTGTGGGCTGTGGAGTGGCACAAGGGGGCCTCTGTGGGTAGGGTCAGCCCTGCCCCCTGGACAGCTCTGCAGTTCCTGGTCTTCTTTGTACCCTCAGAGGAGGCTTCATCATCCTGACTTAGAAATGGGAAATGGAGACCTTATAGAAGCTATATGATTTAACCAGGCACCTCATAGGTGAGATGGGGTGACTCCTGAGAGTCCCCATGGGGCTACTAGCACAAGCCTACTGGCTGGGACCTGGCTTTACCTTAGTCTTTATTCACTGCTCAGAGCTCACATGTGTCCCACTCAGAATTTGAACCCAGGACCCTGTGCCAAGGACCCTGCCCTCATTCATTAAATAGCACTTCTTCCTTGTTGCGAAATTTAGGAAGGGAGTCACTAATGTGGCCATTCAGGTTCTGTACAGACCAAGGCAGATAGAGTCTTTCCCCGGGCCCCTCCTGCCACACCCCCAGCTCCTATCACATCAAGCGTAGTAGTCACAGCTATGTTTACAGTGCATTTTCATGCGTGACCTTGCCTGCCATGTTCTTGTCTGCCAAGGAAGGGCCATGGCCCAATGCTCATCAAAGCAGGAGAGATGGGAGGAGTCCTCCCCATATGCATCCAAGCCTTGGGCAGGGAGAGCATACAGATCTCTGAGCCTCATCTACAGTATATGGGGGGCTGGGACTTTAATATGATGTTACCCCTTTGTCCTGATGCTGCTAACACCTGATCTGCTGAGACCATGACGCAGCAGGACAAATCGAGAAACAGAGGCACTGCAGCAGCTAGAGAAGTGGCCCAAGTGAGTGCCTGGGCAATCAGGGGTGATCTAGTCACAGCCTGAGAGAGCTCAGAGTTACCAGTCCCCTGGTGGTGCCCTTTCCTGTCCTTGCAAAAGGTTTGCCTAAAAAGTTGGTGAGTGAAGCTCTAGGTTGTAATCTGCAGTCCTCCCACCGCGCCCGCCTGTTTTCATTATGAAGGGAAAGAGCATCAGAGCCGTGTTTATAACCCCCTTTTAGATAACAAATCACATTTTCTTTTCGCCTGCGAGTGTGTTGAATTGATATTTTTTTCCCCTCAGTTTAATGGGTTTGTGTGTTCAGGAATGATCTTCATCAACCGAAACTCCTTATTGTGTTTGATGTAATGTCAGCTTTCATTATGTGCTTCGGTCGGAGCCCAGCACAGGGAAGGCCAGGCACCCTGGAGCCAGGGCCCTGCCCCACCCCCACCCAGCCCATCTGGGCTTGTCTTCCTGAATGGGTAGGTGGTCAGGATGAGCAAAGTTAAAGATGAGAGGCTAGGTTATAGCCAGGGTCCAAAGCCTTCCTTTTCCCTGCCTAAGAATTATATGTATGTTCAGGTCAAAGGGCTGCTATGAGAAAGTGCCAGATGAAGCAGACACCTCAGACTCTGGACCCTCTCAAGTCGCCTTTGGTCTTACACACTTGGGAGGTTGTAGTCGTACCCCAGCATGGTGCCCAGGCATGCAATCATTATTCCAGAGTGCTTGGACTGAGCCAACATATCCAGCCAGTGGCTTGTACCCCCAGAGCCCCTGGTGGGAGAGATAACCTGGGACTGTTCCCCCAAACATTCCCCAGCACTAGCCACAGATTCAGCACCAAGGGCAGTCACCAAGACCAAGGCCTCCCCTGGAAGCAGGAGGAGACTGAAGTTCAGAGAGGAAATGGTCCAACCCTGGGGTCACACAGCAACTGGGTCCCAGCCAGGACTTGGGCACAGGTCTCCATATGTGGTGCTACTTTACTGATGGCCCTTGGGAGCAGTTACCACTCCCATTTGCATGTCACAAAGAAACAGGCTGGGACTGCCAGGACCATGTTGGAGGATTTTTTTTTTTTTTTAATAAAACAGGACTGAGGAACACCTGGGGAGGGTGACTCGGACAGTAGCCCTACCCTTAGAGCCCACCAGGGTAGAGTGGGGAGGCCCCTCCTGAGCAGGTGGCACTTGCTGACACCAGGCTAACCTTCTGGAGGCCTCTGTCAGCTGCGCTTGGTCCTGATTAAAGATCATTAAACATGAAATTAGCCCGTTTGTGTTACGGGTCCCCGGGGTGGCCGGTGATTATGATGCGCAGATGGCCAAGAACCCAGGCGGTAGGCAGGCAGGCACGGGCCAGGACAGGCGGGCAGCTCGGGCCAGTGAGGGCCGGGAGGCAGGAGTACAGGCCGGGCTTTGTTTTCTCCCACTCCTGTTGTGTGAACCCCCTTACATTTCACAACAAATCACAGATAATTAATAAGTACATGCCTGTAATGAGCAGGCTTTTTAATAGAAGAAATTGGAAGATGCAGCGTCAAGTCATTATTTTGCTTTTGCCCAGGCTCGGCTCTGTTCTCCCATCTTCCTCACTCCCAGTCCCGCCTCAGTCAGCGTCTCCACCACAAGAGGGGGGTCTGACCCTTCCTCCCAGCAGGGGAGTGTAGGGGGCAGGGCCCCTGGGACTGTCTCATCTGGCCTTGGGAGGGCTAATCTGGGTGCAGGGAGGGGATGGCTCCTGACCCAGGCCTCAGGCCTGGGGGTCCTGGCTGTATCTCACAAGCCCCTGAGCAGCGAGTGCTGAGGCCTCTCTCCCCTCACCAGGAGGAAGACATCATGTACTATGACGCCAAGGCCGATGCTGAGCTGGTGAGTGCCCCACCATGCTGTTGGAGGGGTGGTGGGCTGCCAGCACCACACCCCCTCTTCTGGGACTCTGTGGTGTCAGATGTAAAATGGGTGTTAAGATTCATCACTAAGCATTCTGAGCTCATCCCTGCAGAGTTGTGGTGACACAGGCCCCCACTCCCTGTCTCTCACAACTCCAAGGCTATGACTCTGTGGCCACTAATGAGCTGGGCTCCACTGCACAGTGTGGAGCAGGCTGCTCCCCCCACACACCCCAGGCAAGGAAGGAGGTACTTGGACCTCCCTGTACAAGACAGCTTACATCCTGGCACAGAGAGGGGCTCTCTGAATATGACAAGAATTGCTGGAGAGGGAGCGATGGGGAGGGTTTCCTGGAAGTAGACAGGTAGGGGCAGGCTTCAAATCAGTACAGGCCCCTCCCACACCTGGCCCTAGGATCGTTCTTACTTAGCCCTGAGCTCAGTCTTACTCCAGCTGCAGAGGCAACTCAGTTCAAGTGCCCTCCCTTCTGATGAGGCTCTGCTCAACTACAGTCACTCCCCTCAGAAGTGTGACAGTAGGACTGAGCCACGCTGCCCTTCTGCCTCCATGTTTCTCACTGGCTCAAGTCGGCTTGGGCTGCCCTGTGGGGTACTGAGGTCCCCATCACCAGAGGATTCAGTGAAAGATGTATGACCATTGGGTGGAGGTGGTTACAGAGAAGACAGGAGTGTCTTGGGGATACAGACACTTGGAGTAGACAGTGTGTGATGAACTTGTCAAGGCCCAAGTCCCTCTGACTGACTTCAAAGCAAAGTGGTAGGACATGACTATCCCCTCTGTAAACAGAGGTGTCATAGTAGTTCAGTCTCCCAGGACCCACCTGTGTTTACTGGTGCACAAGACCCAAGATGCAGTCTTCCTCTCCCAGGCTTGGGGGCCTAGGGCCTTTCCTGGGGTAAACAGGCAGTATCCCAAGACACCAGGAGGTGGGAAGGCTGGAAAGGGGCCCTGCGGGGGGATCACAGTGCCAGGCTAGCCTGGGGAGCCTTAAGAAGGGCAGGGGCCTAGAAGGAGGGGGTGGGCTCAAGCAGGTGTGCTTCCCCTTGGCTGAGCTCCGTGGCTCCTGGAGAAGTTGCTAAAATTAAAGCTAGAATCTGAAATTCAAATGAAGAGCGAACCTTTAATTAGACCCTGAATCTAATTCCTTACCCCCCTCGGCAGCGGGCTGTAATTTTAGCAATCAGTGCATTAAATATAAACCAGGAGACTGCAGTTGCCCACCACACAAAGCCCCTGGGCTCACGGGTGGTACTGAGGGGCTCCTTGGTCAGCCTATTACCYGGTCCCCTGCCAGGACACTCTTCATTCCCTGCTCCCAACTGCATCAGAGACCCCAACCCCTGGTTCTAAATCACTGATTCTCTTCCCCCAGCCCCTTGGACACCTGCTGGGGGCTAGAGACTGCCTCAATGAGGGAGACTTAGTCTAGGCAGGGCTGGGCTAGAGTCAGCAGGGACAAAAGCCCTGCCTGGCCCCTGTATAAATAACAGCACGCACACATTTGCCGACTCCCCTGCTTGTTGTGTTGTTTTGTTTTTTTAATCTTTGCCAGAGGTACAGTTAGAGATCTTTCTAGACCATTTACTTTTAAATTACCAGCCAGAAGGTGGGGGTGGGGGAAAGAGAAGGAAGGAAAAAGTTCGCCAGCTGATAGCTTATCAGAACAGAATCCAAATGTCACATTAGTTGGGAAAGTTGGGAGATTAAATTTTCCAGCGCCCTTCATCTGCTGCTGACATTTCGGGGGCTTTCTTCTCCCGCGCCTCCCCCTCCTCCGAGCAGAGCATGAGTGGTGCATGCCTCACAGGCCGCCAGCTCCCTGCTATGGCCTTGGTGCTCAGCGGCTGCCTGCCCTGGCTTTATCCAGCACCCAAGGGCTTCTGAGGGAACCCCCACTGGGTAGGCAGAGCGTGGCACACTGGGTGAGAAGCCTGGAAGGGCATCATACAGCCTGGACTTTGGCTGTACAAAATCCACCCTGCAGAGATGAAATGGGTGTTTGCTGTGGGCCTGTCGGAGCCACGTCCCCACGGTGTACAGAGAACATCTGGGTAGGTGGAAAGGCAGGGTCATCCTTTCCCCAGAAGACACCGCCTGGGCAGATGCCTAAAGACAGAACACAAAGAGAGGGACATGCCCAGGACACAATGAGCAGCAGGGGCAGCAGCCTATGAGACATATGGGGGAGATGATATGAGCTGAGACTGAGCCAAGGCTAGTCATAGGAGTCTTGGGGGGCAGCAAAGGAGTGTGTGGAGGATTCCTCTGCCTGGGCTTCCTCCTATCAGGGCATGAAGCCCCAGCTCTGCTCTCTTCCCTGCCTTAGTCTCCATCTCTCCCTTGCCTCCCCATCTGGCTTTTCCCTCTCTTCCCCTGCACTCTCTACCATCTTCCCTCCCTGCTCACACACCTGCACCCAAGCTCTGCCCCCACCCCTTGACTGTGGCATCCACACTATAGTCGCAGATCCACTCCTGCCAGCCTGTGGTGGTGGGCGGGGGTACACAGCGCATGCCCAGACTGCCTGGCCGAGAGATGCTGTAATTGGCACCTGTCAGGCGGCTGCAGCTCATTTTAGAAAATCAACAGGGGCCCTTACAATCCTACTGCTAGCAGGCACGGCAGACCTTCCCTCCGGCAGTCCCCCACCCTGTTCTTCCCAGGTCTGTCCCCCAGCTATCTCCTAGAGATGCCCTGCTGCAGAGGATGGTATCCCTGTCCCAGATGGTACTAAGGCCCTCTCCATGGTGCCAAAGGAATTCCATGCAGGAGATGGATGGAACCCAGTGGAGAGTATGGAGGCACAGAGCTCTTAGGATATGCTGCCAAGGCCTCCCTGTGATTGCACAAGGCACATCCTGATTTTTTGTTTGGGGGGCAGTACCAGTGACTGAACCCAAGGGCACTCTACCACTGAGCTGCATCCCCAGCCCTTTATATTTTTTATTTTGAGACAGTCTCACTAAGTTGCTTAGGGCCTCACTAAGTTGCTGAGGCTGGCTTTAAACATGTGATCCTCCTACCTCAGCCTCCTGAACCACTGGGATTCCAAGTGTGCGCCACCACACCCGGCTTCAAGGCACATCTTTGTAAGCAGAATTCTGGGTCCTGTTCCTTCTAACTGGCACCGTTATCTGACTCCTTCACTGATAATTGGTTTTCAAAGATGTTTGGTTTTGATTTTAGAATTTAGTTTTGGCAGTGGGTAGGGTGGGCAGGGACAGGTGGGAGTCTGCCACAAGCCTTCTGGGTAAGGGGTCATCCATCTGTCCTGCTGTCTTTCCATCTCTCTTTCTTTTTGTCTCTGCAAAAGCTTCTATGCTTGAGATGCCCCTGTCTCCTGGACTCTGGTCCTCCCTACCTACCCCTGCCTGCAGGCCTGTCCAACCTACTCACCATTTTCCAATTCTCACAATTCTGGGGGACTTTCTGCAGGATGATCCTGAGAATGAGGATGTGGAGAGGGCGTCCAAGACCAGCACCCTAAGACTGGACTTCATCGAGGACCCAAACTTCAAGAACAAGGTCAACTATTCATACACAGCTGTGCAGATCCCCACGGACATCTACAAAGGCTGTGAGTGTGCAGAGTGATTGGGACGGCCCTCACTGCCTGTCATGGGTGCAAGGCCTACAACTCATGCCCCTGGAGACAGAAGGCCAGTACCATCAACCTCCATCCCCTACAGCCAAGGTCACACATGTTCACCTCTGAAACTCCCTGACATGCAGGCATCCAGCTGCTCATAGTTCAGAGCCTCATGCTAACCCTCAGCAGGTTACAAAACCGAGTTTCGCATTCCTGTGCATGCATGGTCTCCAGCTCATATGAACATGAAAACATACACACACAGACACACACACACACTGTCCAACACATGCTGGTGTGAGTTCCTCAAAACAGCTCCTTGCCACTCTCTCACAATCCCTGGTCTCATTAGAAGTAACTGAAAAGGGCTGGGGCTGGGGCTCAGTGGTGAAGCACTTGCCAGGCATGTGTGAGGCCCTGGGTTCGATCCTCAGCACCACATAAAAATAAATAAATAAAGATATTGGGTCCATCTACAACTAAAAAAAAAAATACATTTTTTTAAAAGTAACTGAGAATCTACCACATATCAGATGGACACAGGGGCTAAGGGACAGCCCTCACTGACAGACACCAACCCTATTATACCACCCTGATCCTTAGAAAAGCAAAGGGGTAGAAAGATGGTTTCCAGAACAGAGCAGCCAGGGGCAGATGTGGGCAAGGGGAATTAGGAAGAGAGTGGTGAGACTCCAAGCCCCACGGAGAGGGCAGCTTTTCACAATGGAAAAACCGTGTGCTATAACTGGAAGGGTTTGAGTTAGATATGAGGAGGAACTTCCTAAAGTTCTTGAGAGGAGGCCAGGAGTAGAACACTGGATGGGGATCTCCAGCAGCAGAACTTAAGGCCCTAGGGACTCTTGGGTCTGCTACAGTCCTGTGGCACCTATGGGGTAGCCCCAGAATCCAAGGGGCCCACTGAGCTAGGGATCTTAAAGCAAAGGTCCCAGAGCTCCTGCATGGCTCTAGAGAATTCCCCAGAGTCCTCAGGGAGGGCCCCCTCCACCCTCGGGGTCAGCTAGGCCTTTTGGGCAGCCTCAAGGGGAGTAGAGAAGGATGCTCCCCCACCCACCCCGAAGTCTGCCCAGAGGCCACCTGCCTGAGCCAGTCGAGAGGCACTATCACAGGCAGGCACGCTAATTAAAACAGGAGCCACACCGCCCTCCCCAGTCACCCCTCGCTACCCACACAAATTACATTTTATATGTTTTTTATTTACTGTGTCACTTTTAATTAAATCTGTAATCGCCTGCCTGAGGGGGCATGGTCCCCATTTTCCAACTCAGCATGATCTGAAAGTGTGTGCACATGGGTGTGGGTGTGGGTGCAGGGGGTGGAGTAGCAGGCCCTTTGTGGGATGGGGCCATTTGCACCGGTGTGTCACTCAATGAATGCAGGTGTGTAGATGTGATCACAGGTATCTGCAGGGACAGCCCGCCCAGAGCAATGTCTTCTCTTGGCTTTTGACCTGAGTCAGGGACACCCCAACCAGAGGGGCTTCACGCCTCTCAACTGGGAAGATTGAGGTCCAGTGAGGGGTGGGTGTCCCAGGCAGATTCCCAGGGCAGCCAAAGCTGTGTTTTCCTTTAAAGAGAAAAAAAATAAAAATTGTTCAATTCACTAAGTTTCTAAATCAGGAACAGGACCATAACATAGTGTTCAATAGGCAGAGCCAACACTAGAAATGGGTTTTGTTTTCACATTATGGTCAGTTAAGGGGAACCACGGGGATGGAGAAGGGAGTGAGAGCAGCCGAGGAAGAGTTTAGGGAGCAGACAGGACACAGCAGAGCCCCCCCACGCAGGGAAAGCAGAGGGAGCGCAGGGGTGGGCAGAGCCTTGAGCAATTGTAAATCACGACTCCATCTGCTCTGGAAACAGCAGAGCCTTCTCTGTTTCTCACTTGTGGTGGGTCTTTGATGGGGAGCCCAGTGTGTGTGTTGGGGGTGATGTTGGCAGGGCTTGACCTGGAAAGAAGGGAAATGGAGGAAATTGAAGAGAAGCAGTATTGGTTCTTGGGGGAGAGGTAAGGCATATAGGCAGCAACAGGTGTCCCTCTCCTGTTTTTTCTGAGTGTCCAAGGATAGGTACACATGAGAACATATTCACATGGGGCAGATTTAGGGCTGCCCTGGTTGAGGGGTGGGAGGCCAGTAGTCTTGAGAGGAGCCTTGCTCTGTGAGGGTGTGGATGGGTAGGTATGGCCAGGGGATCATGCATGTGCAACTACAAAGGTTGGGAATGGAGGGTGGGGGGAACTATTGGTAGGGGATCTGAGAACAGGACCCACTGGTGGCCTTCTGTAGGTGCCCAGGGGTATGTAGGCGTAAGCAAGCACATATGCCCCTGTGCTCACGGCAGCAGTCAGGTTGCTAGGCAGGTGGACTTAAGAGTAAGGGGTGGGGGGTCACACACCTGGTTGAAAGCACATAAGTTACATGCAGGTGTACCTGCTGGGGGTGCAGACTTTGTGTGTGTGTGCATGTACGCCCACGTGCGTGCACACAAGCACACATACATGCCTATGTCAGAGCAGGATCTTGGCACTGCCTCTGCCTCCAACAGCCCCCACCTCTGCCCCTGCCTGCTCCTGGCCCCAGTTGATTAATCATGGAGCTGAGTGGCTTCCAGCTTATCAGGTAGCTTAATAGCTGAATAATTCCAGCCCCATCAGCAGGCCCTTAATTGCTTTCTTGTGGCTGTGGCCTGGAGTGCATGCTGAGTGGGTGAGCTCCCCGGGGACCAGCCACAAGTTCCAGGCAGCAATGCTCCATAGGGGGCCCAGCTCACAGTTCCATGCCACCTGAACGGCCCTTCTCCAAGAGCCACCAGCCACCGCTGCCCTGCCTGCTTGTGTGGGGCCCAGGTGAGGGGTAGGCTGGGCTATTCCTTGACAGCTTGGACTGAGTGAAGACCAGGAAGTCTTCCTGGGGGAGATAGTACAGCCCCAGCTGGGCTCTGGGAAATGAGGGAGAGTCTGGACAGGCAAGAGAGTAGGGGGGGCTTGGGCATGAGTGTCACGGTGGTGGGTTCAGCAAGAACAGCCTAGAGCTCCCCACCCCAGCCTCCTGCTTCACCCCCAGCCACCGTCATCCTCAATGAGCTCAACTGGACAGAGGCCCTGGAGAACGTGTTCATTGAGAACCGCAGGCAAGACCCCACACTACTGTGGCAGGTCTTTGGCAGTGCCACAGGAGTCACCCGCTACTATCCAGGTAGGTGCCAGCCATTTCCCCTGTCCACCCAGTACCCTACCTTGCTCCATCCTGAAGTGCATGGGATAGGATGGTCAACCAGTGGGCTACGGTGACCCAGTCGTTCCCACAAGGCCTGTCTGTCTGGATTGGACCCTTCCCTGCCTGTCCCCCTCACCGTCTCTCCTCCCACAGCTACCCCATGGCGAGCCCCCAAGAAGATTGACCTGTATGACGTCCGAAGGAGACCCTGGTAAGCAAGTAGATAGGAGCTGGGCAGGACACTCCTTTAGCTCCCCACCTCTCCTGCCTCCCCTCCCTCCCAATATCCAGGCCTTCGAGCAGGGCGCAGCCAGCTCTATCCAATTTTCATTTCACACATCGTTGCCACTGGAAAATGGATCCCATCACCCAGGCAGGCCTCCCAGCTGCCTCTGCTCCCCTCCCCTCTCCCCCCGCCATCTACCACCCAGTACCCCCACCCCCTCAGGACTGAGAGATCAGCCCAGTGGGGGTGTTCCCATGGATAGATATGGCCTCTGCGGGGTTGGCAGCCCCTGCCCTGCTCATTCCAGCTCTAAACACCCTACTGCATGACTTTTCTTCCCTCTTCCATCCCATACACAACTAGACTGTGCCCTTAGGGTCTCCACCTAGGGCAGAGGCTACAACAAACTCTGAAGCCAGGGAGCTCCTCCTGCCTACTCTGTGGATCACCAACGCCCTGCCGCCACCCCTTGGGGTTGTTTACTTGCTGAGGGACCAGATCACTCATGTCCCTGGCAGACAGAGTCTGCTTTATTAAACATAGTCTCCCCAGTGCCCCGACCCTGTCTAGCTTATGCAGTGGATGCTCAGTAGAAACATGTGAATCAGTATGTGGGTAAAGGAAGGAAAGACCTACAAGGTCCCAGCAGGGCTGGCCCTAATTGAGGCTTCTCCTGGACAGGTATATCCAGGGGGCCTCGTCACCCAAGGACATGGTCATCATCGTGGATGTGTGAGTGAACAATGCTGGCAGGCAGGGTTGGAGCTGGAGTCTGCTGCCTGGGAACCTCATGGGGGTAGGGTAGGAGAACATCTGGGGTCCCTCAACATGGCCCCTGCCCGACCTCTCCAGGAGTGGCAGCGTGAGTGGCCTGACCCTGAAGCTGATGAAGACATCCGTCTGTGAGATGCTAGACACACTCTCTGACGATGACTATGTGAATGTGGCCTCGGTGAGTACCAAGACAGTAGGCAACCAGGGAGCTGGTCATCCCTACCTGTCCCATGCAACAGCTGCCTGCCCTGGCCAGCTTGAGGCCACTCACCACCCCATTGTCCCTGCAGTTCAACGAGAAGGCGCAGCCTGTGTCTTGCTTCACACACCTGGTGCAGGCCAATGTGCGGAACAAAAAGGTGTTCAAGGAAGCTGTACAGGGCATGGTGGCCAAGGGCACCACAGGCTACAAGGCCGGCTTTGAGTATGCCTTTGACCAGCTGCAGAATGTGAGCCCCATGGGTGGGCAAATGGGCGGCTGGGGGCGGACGAGGGCCCAGGCTTGGTGACACGGGGAAATCAAAATGGATGGCCTTGTTAGTGCCAAACAGGCAGCTTGGACAGATAGCACCATCTGCTGTGGGAAGTAAGGCCAAAGGGCCAGGCCCACCATGGGGAGGGAGGCCTTGCCCCTGGACTGGAGAGGGGCTGAGAGCCACCTGACTCCACTCACCTCTGCCCAGTCCAATATCACTCGGGCCAACTGCAATAAGATGATCATGATGTTCACGGATGGCGGTGAGGACCGCGTGCAAGACGTCTTTGAAAAGTACAATTGGCCCAATCGGACGGTAAGACTCAGCCCAGGTGGGAGTTGCCCTGATCTTGGCCCAGAACAGGGGAGGGCTATACTCCAGAGGTCACAGTAGTAACTTCAAGACCCCACAGGTACGTGTGTTTACCTTCTCTGTGGGGCAGCATAACTATGATGTCACACCACTACAGTGGATGGCCTGCACCAACAAAGGTATCTTATCCAATGTCACGGCCAGGAGGCCTGCCTACTATGTCCTGCTGCCAGCTGTCCATCCATGTGTCTGTTTGTCCTTTCACTGTCTGTCTATCTTCCCATACATGTGGCTGTCCACTGCTCTGCCTATCCAGTGAGCTGTCTAACTTGTCCATCTGACCAAACATCTTTCTGCCTATCTGGTTGTTTGTCCATTGTACATCTGTCTTCTAGCTTGTTTGCTCCTGCATCTGTTTTCTGTCTATCTCTACACTTGGGCCTGGTTGCTAAGTGGCCCCTGAAGATTACAGCTGTCCTAGACTGGGGAACTTCAGGCTCCTTTTTTCACCTATCTCTGCCCCAATCCCCACCCCTGCTGTGCTTCCTTAGGCCCCTATTATACTCACTCCCCTTCCCTAGCATTGATCCCAGGGACAGGGCAGCAGAAGGAAGCAAAGAGATATATGAGTCTTGGGTAAGTTGTACCAAAGAGAGAAGAAGTCTGAGGGGCAAATCAGGTCTGCAGACCTACCCCAGGGGGCAGAACCCCCTGTGCTGTGGATCCCCGCAGTGCCAGCCAGGTCCATCTCTGCCTCCCCTCCCTTCACAGGTTACTATTTTGAGATCCCTTCCATCGGAGCCATCCGTATCAACACGCAGGTGAGGCTGTGAGGGAGGCCACTCCTCCCAGCCCCTGGCTTCCCTGCTGTCTCTCTGTGCAGCAAGCTGAGAGCGCCCCCTGGTGATGACTGGGGCACATACCAAAGCATGGGGAGACCAAAGAGGGAGTTAATTGGGAGAAACACTGGTGACCTCTGCCACCCCCTCCCCAGGAATATCTAGACGTGTTGGGCAGGCCCATGGTGCTGGCAGGCAAGGAGGCCAAGCAGGTGCAGTGGACCAACGTATATGAGGATGCACTGGTAAGGCCTCTGGTCAAGGAAGGGACCTGGCAGCCTTCCCCAAGGATCTGCCCAGGGATCAAGACCCTTAAAGTCCCCTTAATGGGGGTTAACAAAGCAGAGGAGAAAGAGTGATGGCCTGCGCCTGAGCCCCTGCTCTGAATACTTGGGCTCAGGGCAGGACTGGTCACAGGAGACCCCCATCCTCCTCCTTTCCCTTCAGGGACTAGGGTTGGTGGTAACAGGGACACTCCCTGTTTTCAACCTGACGCAAGATGGCCCTGGGGAAAAGAAGGTGAGGTTCCCACTGAAGGAGGATTGGGCATGCCTGGGGAGGGAATAGCATGGCCCTAACAGGCGTGGGAAGGAAGGAGGGATAGGGCAGTCCAGCAAAGTGGATGGGGCAGCTGCCTATGAAAGCATCTGGAAGCTTTGGGTGTGGGGCAGAGAGGTTCCCCCTTGGAAATAAGCCCCTTATAGATTCTCCATGCCTCTGCTTCTAGAACCAGCTAATCCTGGGTGTGATGGGCATCGATGTGGCTCTGAATGACATCAAGAGGCTGACTCCCAACTACACAGTGAGTGTCTACCTGTCCATCCACCCTACTCTGCCTCCCACATGAATACAAGCCAGGTTCAGCAGAGCAGACCGACAGAATCACAGCATGTCTATGGAAACCTTTGAGTTGAGGAAATGAGGGGTGGGCTTCCTGAGGAGGTGACCTCTGAGTGGAGTCAGCAAACTTTCTGTAAAGATCCAGGCTGTGAATATTTTAGACTCTGTTGGCCTAAATACCCATTTCATACTCTACTGTTGTATTGTGAAAGCAGCCAGATAAAACAAACACATAGGTATAGCTATGTTCTTATATGGTTTTGTTTGTGGATACCAATTTATGAACTTCAGATCATCTTCACATTTCATGAACTAGAATTTTTCCTTTGATTTTTTTCAACCATTTGAAAACATACAAGTGTTTCTTAGCTTACAGCCATATAGTATCAGGTAACAGGTCAGACTCAGCCCATGCACAGAGATGGGCAGTGTGGTTGGCCCAGGGCCTGTTGAAGAGGAGGGAGGAGGCACCTGTTTGGCCCTGAGGCACTGTGGTCAGGCACTGTGGCATGGACCTTCAGGTTCAATGAGAAAACTATCAGAGTTAAAGGCTGGGTCCCCGGTCCCTCTTATTCCTACTTCCCTTCCACCTGGAGAAGAAGCCCCAGGACTATAGGATCCTCAAGAATCTTCCCCTTGCCCTGTGTTTACTGAACTGGGGACAATGCACAAATCAGAGGCAGCAGTAGGCGGGCAAGGGTAATACAAGAGTAGCAGCTTTGTGAGCCCTGTGGAGGCAGAGCGGTCAGTCTAGCTGACAGCTGCATGGAGACTACAGGACGTAGGATGGCAAGGGCTGGTGCATGAGGGGCACCTAGCCCCAGGCATAGCTTGAGAGGCAGGCTTATGGCCATGTGGCAGGTGGGGGCCCTTGGCCCATGGCAGGCAAACAGCAGCCCTCGGCAGGGTAGAAGGCAGAATGGGGAAGAGCTCCAGAGCCCAATCTCTGCCTAGCACTTTGGAACCACAGTTCCCCAATCTGCACCTTCAGCTTGGAGCCAACGGCTATGTGTTCGCCATTGACCTGAACGGCTACGTGTTGCTGCACCCCAATCTCAAGCCTCAGGTGAGCCAGGTGGATGGCCTGGAGGGAGAGTAACCTTCCAAGATGGGGACTCCCAATTGCCTGTCCTGCCTCCCCACAGACTACTAACTTCCGGGAGCCTGTAACTCTAGACTTCCTGGATGCAGAGCTGGAGGATGAGAACAAGGAGGAGGTAAAATGAAGACAGGGAGGAGGGATGGGGAGGCCTGCCCAAAGAGCAGAGGAGGGTCACAGCTCTGGCCCTTCCAGATCCGTCGGAGCATGATCGATGGCAACAAGGGCCACAAGCAGATTAGAACCTTGGTCAAGTCTCTGGATGAGGTGAGAAGGCAGGGGAGGGGGGATAGGGGGTCAGAATGGGTACCCTTCCTACCCCGCATCTACTCTAGCCTGCTAGCCCAAGTACCTGATGTGGCCTCCTCTCCCAGAGGTACATAGATGAAGTGATCCGGAACTACACCTGGGTGCCTATAAGGAGCACCAACTACAGGTGAGTAGGCCAGGACTGGACAGGCAGAAGTATGGGGTGACCCAGAGTCTGAGCCCCACTGTCCCCTCCTAGTCTATCCTCCACTCTAGTCTACTGTAACTATTATCCCAGTGAGGAACCAGCAGCCAGGGCTCCTTACTACTCACCCTGGGATACTAGATCCCCCAATCCTTGGAGGGGTTTCCTGAGGAACAACCCAGAGGTTCTGGGAGTCCAGAAAAGAGAATAGAACAGTGCATCCTCTTGTCACACCTGCCTGGAGGGCATCCCTGGGTGTCCACACTCAGAGTATCATCTCTGCACATTCACTGCCTCCTCTAAGCCAACATCGAAGCCTCAGAGCAGGTCCCCTTTAGGTCAGGCATGGTTGACATAGGTTGTCCTCTGAATGAGTGCATGTGCCACACAACTGGTCCATTCTAAAATACCAGGGGCATCTTCATACCCCAGGCCCAGCCCATGACTGCCCCTTGCCACACCTGTGCAGCCTTGCCATTTGCTGAGTCTAAGATAGTGTCAGGGACTGCAGCCCCCACTCCTTGGGGATAGCAGCTCCCACCCCTGATGCTAGGATGCTAGGGGAGTCTACTGGGGGTAAGGATTTGCTTTGGGTCTGGTTATTCTCCATCCTCCAGGAGAGTTGGGGATATGGAGGTCCAGTGTTTCCAAGGCAGGGGAAGAGGGGCTCCCTGGGCTTGGGCCTCTCTGTCCAGCTCCAAAGCCATGGGGAGGGGGTGCCAGAATGGCCCACCTCTTCCCAGCAGTGACCTGCACTCCCCCTTCCCCACCTCCCCAGCCTGGGGCTGGTGCTCCCACCCTACAGCACCTTCTACCTCCAAGCCAACCTCAGCGACCAGATCCTGCAGGTCAAGTGTAAGTGGCCCGGCCCCTGCCTGCGCCCTGCACCCCTGCCTCTGTCCCTGCACCCTGGCCGGCCCCAGGCAGCATAGCCAGCCATGCTTGCTGGCAAGGCATCCCCTCCTGCCCATTCTGCCCAGCCTCTGGCACCCACAGGCTGGGGCCCCCCTCCAGCCTTCAAAAGTCTGTGGAAATCTGCATGCTCGCCTTTTCTCAGATTTGGTTCCAGAGCATTCTCTCATGGTTTCCGTTGAGGTTTCTGTTTTTGGTTTCTCCTACTCCGTGTCTCCCTTTCATAGCCTGCCTGCCCTGAAAACCCTTGGGGGCTGCATTCTTGGAAGACACCCCCATCCCCTCTCCTCCTTCCCTGCTCCCAGCTCAGTTTTCTACCTCCTGTGGTGCCACCTCCAGGTCTCTCACTCTGTCCCCCATTCCCCATCCTCACTCAGGTCCCACTGTCCCTCAGTCTTCTCTCAATCCTCTTCATCTTCATCTTCTGCCATTCTCACTCTGATCTCCCTGCACCCCAACTTCCTTTTCTCTCCCTCCCTCCTTCTCTCATTCCCCATTTCCTTTTTCTTCCCTCTTCCCCTCCCCTGTTCCTCCACCTCCTCTGTCACCCTCCCTTTCTAACCTCTCCCTTCTGTTTTCTTCATCCATTTCTCTCACTTCCCGCCACCCATCTCTATAGCACCCCTACCTTCTTGAGTACACTCCCTTCAGTCTCTCTCCCTCTGTCTTACACCCTCTACCCTGCTCCTTCCCTTCCCCAATCCTGGCCTGCTCCCTCCTCCTCCCTCTCTTCCTTTCCTCTCTCCTTCAGCCCAGCTTCCCCTCTCCTCCCAGTTTCTCTCCCCCTCTTCCTCTCTTCCTTCTCTCTTCTCTCTTCTCTCTCCCTCTCCTCCCTCCTCTCCCAGTCCTCTGCCTGTGGCTCCTCCCTGCATGCCCTGCTTACCCTGGGCCTCTCAGAGAGGCATGGGTTTCAGGCTTGGCCCCGCCTGCCCACCACCCGAGGTCACTGGGAGGGAGGCTGGGGCTCCGGCCCCACCGGGCGCCCCCCACCTGCCTGGCCGACTGGGGCTCATCTCCATTGAGTTTTCTTGCTCTCTCTTTCTCTCTCATGTCGTTTTTTTGCAAGAAGTTTCCTTTCGGTATGATGATGAGACACAATATTTTCATTCAAACAGCCATTGAATAAAATATTGTTTGTGCCCCTCCCCTTCCCCTCCCCCTTTTCGTTTGTTTTTGTGTTTGTGTTTTTGTTTTCCTCGCTTTCTCTCTTGGTGGACTGTCCCAGTGCCAATCAGCAAACTGAAGGGCAAGTATATTCAGAACCAGTGCACCCTCCTCTCCCCACCCCACCCCCTCACACCCCTGCTTGCCCCCCTCCCTGCCCAGGACCAGCCACACCCCTGCCCTTCAGGGTTCCCCTCCCAGCATCCCCTTGGCTCCTCAGTTCTTGCCTTTCCTCTGGTCCCTAAACCCCTTTTAGAGCCAGTGGCCCCTTCCCTGGGCCTGCCTGCAGGATGTTCTCCAATGTTCTGAGGGTCAGGTCCCTTCCATAGTCCTTGCTCCCTATGGGAAGGCCTCTGCCTCCCCCCACCATCCCTCCAAGACAACTCAACAGTGGGGACAGGGCTGGATGCCTCTCTGCCACCTCCCACCCAGCAGGGCGGGGAGCTTGAGATGCAGGTAAAGTCCTCCCTGCTTACTGAGAAAGCTTATGTGAGGCTACCAGAAAGGATCAGCCCCACAAGGCTCCCTCTAGGACAGACAGCTCTCCCTCCTCTGATCTCTGCCAGTGGATCCAAAAGCTGGCAGCCCTCTGAGAAGGGAGACAGAAGGGCTCTGAGCCTCATCCCCTTGCCCTGGGAAAGGGGGACACACAGGGTAGGCAGCTGGGCCATCTGAAGAACAAGGCTCACACACCATCTTGGGAACTGGCCTTGGTGCTGAAGTTCCCCTGACCAGCCACACCCACTGCCCCGCCCTACCACCACCAGGCTGTGCTGAGGCCCTTTGACCCAGGCCTGACCTGGGGTAGTCACTGCTCCTGGGGAGGAGCAGCAGGTATGGAAAAGGTGTTCTCCTTGGGGAATAAAGGCAAATTCAGACTGGAAACCCTGGCCAGGCACAGAATGGGATCTGTCTGGACGCCAAGGCCAGCAAAGGAGCTTAGAGAAAAATCAGGCCAAGTGTGAAGAAAAAGATTGTGGCACTCCAAAGTGCCCAAGCCAGAGAGTCTTGGAAAAGTGGGTGGTGAATTCCCAGACCCTGGCAGAGAACCTCAGGAGTAAGAGGACAACACAAGGTCTCTGCCACTGGTGCAAAAAGAGCTGCCCTCTCAGGGAATGCTTAGCAGATGCAACATGGAGAGCCACAGGGGATTCCCCCTAACCTGGAAGCAGGAGTCCCCAGTCACCCTTAGGACCCCTGACCAGCCTTGTTCAGCAAAGGGAATACAGCCACCCGCAATGGCCTGCGGGGGAGGTGGGGGCATACCCTACTCCCACTGGCTTGAGTTGTCTTTTTCTCCTTGTCTCCCACAACCCACTCAGTGACCCTAGAATGTAGGGCCCTAGTAACCATGAGAACCATAGCATAGTATCCCTAGTATCCCTCCCTGCTCCTTCTCCCTCCTTTTTCTTTCTCCTCCTCCCCTCCCCCACCCTTTCCCCTTCGGCTTGTGTCCTGCCTCACAGTCCTATCAGAAAGGAACAGTCCAACCAGTGACTGCCCAGCTCCCTCTAAGCACCCCAAGCCTCCCCTGCCCAGAACCTTGCAGTGCATCGTGGGAGTATTTGGGAACAGGGAAAATCCCTCTTCTGTACAAATAAAGCCTTGGGGACAAAATAGTTTGTGATGTGGGTGAAGATAGGATAGGAAACTGCCAGAGTGAGACAGGCCAAGAGCAAAGGGACCCCTCCCAGATGTTGGCCTTCAGGGCAGCCAGTCCAGCTAGGCAGGAGAGACCTGAGGCCTTGTGGCCTCATCTTCAGGTTCACTCACAAACCCATATAAAGACACACACACATACACATACACACACATGCACAGCTCATGAGACTTGGGCARTAGCCCAACTGATGGACCCCTCTTCAGGCATCCCCAGCATTCCTCCCTGGCTCCTCTGAGCCCAGACATGCCTAGGAAAGGAGGAGACCTAGCCCTTCTTCTCTACCTGCCCCCACATGCCCCCAGCCCAGTAAAGTGAATGTTAAGTTTCTATCAGCACCCCTAACCCCTCACAGGGTTCAGAACAATCCCTACACCTTGAGGGTCTCCCTTCATGCAGTATCCTGTCCCAGAAAGAACCCCCCAGACCCCCACGATGCACTGCAGTCTATCCCCAGCTACCCACACTGTCTCTGGTTGGACTGTCTGTGCCCGTGAGAAACCCCCTCGGTTTGGCCATGTTGATGCCTGACATAACAAAAGACCTACCAAAACGCAAACAGCTGTGGTTAAGAAAGAGAGATAAAAATCCGCAGCCAAAAGCCAATTCCCTTCCTCAAAGTCTCTTTGGAGGCGAAGGAAGCTCAGCATGCGGTTTTTTCCATTATGGATGTGATAAGAGTGAGACTGGCGCCTCCCCCAGACCATGCATATATATAGCAGTGTGTGTATATATATGTGTGTGTGTGTGTCCGTGTATATGTGCTATACAGCAGTATGGAAGCATATACAGCCACGCCAAGGGACTCACTGCCGACAGAGGACCAGGCCCGGGCAACATATTGGCTATAACTGCCCTCTCCTGCGATGCTGTAGTCTCCACAAGCCCTCCACTCCTCCCCACCCGCCCATCCCCTCTCTCTGGCTCAAACCTGAACGTGGAAGTGGCGGGTTCCCTCTTTGCTGGTGTCTCCCCCTCCCTCAAGCTGCCCTCTCCCCAGCCCCCAGCCCAATCAGCTCTGAGCCCCCTGGCCTTCCGCCTCCCCAGCCCCCGCCAGATAACCCCCCGTTTCTGTTGCAGATTTTGAGTTCCTGCTCCCCAGCAGCTTTGAGTCTGAAGGACATGTTTTCATTGCTCCCAGGTAGCTTGCGTGTGGCCTTGCTGAGGTGTGCTCCCCACCCCAACTGCCCCGGCCCTGCCTCCCGCACTGCTGCCTGGAGCTGTGTGTGTCTGTGTCCTGTGCAATGTCACCCCCAGCCCCCTGTACATAGCCCGGTATGTGTGGCTGTATGCATACCCAGGCCATGTAGCCGCACCAGGCAGCAGTGGCCAGTGCACAGTCCATCTCCCACCAGGCCTGAGGCAGGAGGCCTCTGGACTCTCTGCTGACCTTCCCTGCCCTCCCAGGCCACCAGGAAGGAGCCACTTCAGTCTTGGGCTGGCTGTCTGCAGCACACCCCTTCACCGGGCAGCTGCTGCTCTGGTTTGTGGTATCCTGCCTATGCCCCCACCTGCACCCCATTGTTGTCCTGTGTTGGTCAGTGTTTGTGTGGGTCTGGGGCTGAGCCAGCCAGAGCCCCTGTCAGTAGTGCCAGGTCCAGGTGTGGTGGCTCACTGAGGGGTGAGGAGGAGTGGGAGGGAGGGGAGGGGCTTTGAGGAGTTGCTCTGGCAAGTGAGGTATCAGGGCAAGAACAGGTCCAGGCTAGATCATCTCTGAAATGTACACTCAGCATACACACGTGGGTCCTCTTGCCCACACCCTCTGCCCTTTGGCCCACATCTGAGGACCTACCCCCTTCCCCAGGTGCTCAAGAGCTCTCTTGTGACCAAATGAGGGAAGATGGGTGCAGTAAACAGACACAAGGGCACTCTCAGGCACCACACAGGGACTCTGGACACTCCTAAGCTCCATTGTGTATGCACGTGCGTGCATGCACCCACAATTCTGTGACTCTCTCTGTAGATGTGTGTTTGTATCGTGAGTCATCGTATATATGTATAAGAGTCCGAGTATAAGTGTGGGGTGGGCTGTGTGCATTAGTGATAGTGGGAATGTGTGGAAAGGACTATGTGACTCACATAAACCTGAGGAAGCTCTCTGAGGGACGGGATCATGTTTGTCTTTGTCACCTCTGTATCTTTGGCTCTGGAGAGCTCAATCAATGAATGTCAGGTGAGTGAATGAAATGTGGATGTGCATATAATGTCTACCATGTATCCTGAGCACAGCTGTGAAGGCATCATTTTGGGTGTGTCAGGCCTCCAGGCATAGAGGCACAGGGTGTATACCACACAAAGGCCCTGAGTGAGTGGGAGCTGAGACCCAGTCCCAGGTGCCCTCACTAAGCTATAGGCCCCAGCACAACCTGGGGAAATGGCATATTTCTTAAATCCCCACAAAGTTGCTGCCATATAGCCTAGTGGTAACAGGAGTGTGAATGAAGGATTGGGCAAGATTGATGGCCTCAGGGTAGAGGTACAGCTTGCTAGAAAGCAAAGCTTCAAGCAGGCCCTGCAATACCCCAACAGCCCTCATGTTTTCTGGACCCAGAGCCTGAGCCCAGCACGTGCCTTGAGGAGGTAAGGGATTTGGCCTCCATGGGAAGAGTATTCCAGGCAAAGGGAAAAGCCAGTTTGAGGACCTACAAATTCTCACTGATTTCCTGACACCTCTGCAGAATGATAAGAAAAAGTGAGTCTCAGGGACCCTGAATATGTGCCCAAAGGCGCACAGCCAGGAAGGGGCAGGATGAGGCACCAAGTACCAGACTCTGGCGGACAAAGGCCAGTTCTGGTACTTGGTGCCACATATGCCCATGGAAATGCTGTAGAGCATACAGGTGAATGAGCCAGCCACCAGATGTGTCCTAAGGCCTCCCAGATGCACTATCTGGATCTAGCTACCCAGGAGAGATGGGAGGCTCTGCAGGACCAAGCCAAGGAGAAAAAAACCCTGCCAGGGTGGAGGAAGCAGACTCTCATTCTGGTGTTGGTATTGGCTATCCCAACTCAGACTTCTCAGCCTGCAGGCATGTAGGAGCCGAAGCCTGTAAGAACACATGTGCCCCTCCCTGAGGTCTGGGCTTCTCAGAGAATGGCCAGACAGGCTTATTGGGAAGCCTTGACCCCATTGCCCTGTTCAGCCCCCAAATCCCACTCTTCTTGCCCCTCCCTACCCCCAGAGAGTATTGCAAGGACCTGAATGCCTCAGACAACAACACTGAGTTCCTGAAAAACTTCATTGAGCTCATGGAGAAAGTGACTCCAGACTCCAAGCAGTGTGAGTGTCTAGTGGCAGGGCAGCTGGATCTGGGAAGTACCCAGGCAGCATGGGGGCCGCCCAGAGGAACCTAGAGATGGGGGAGGTGTGGAAACAGGCCCAAACCCAGGGAAGGGCCTGGGTCAGGGTATAGGGAAGGCTCCTAGTGGAGTCTTGGGAGTAGGGGCAAGGGAGTACAGGAAGCTGCAAGAAGATGGTCCTCTACCCCTACCCTTCTGTTCCCAGGCAACAACTTCCTTCTGCACAACCTGATCTTGGACACAGGCATCACGCAGCAATTGGTGGAACGTGTGTGGAGGGACCAGGATCTCAACACGTATGCACCAGGCTTTAGGGGCAGGAGGCTGGGATGGTCCCAGAGGCCCTGCCCTCTCTAGCTGAAGGCAGGCCTGTGACCCTACCTCCCCGCCACCCCCAGGTACAGCCTGCTGGCCGTGTTCGCTGCCACTGATGGTGGCATCACGCGCATCTTCCCCAACAAGTAAGTGACCTACCACATTACCCAGCACCCACCTCTGTCTGGGATCTTGCCCTGTGCTACTGCCCAGAGGCTTTCTTGCACTCCTAAGTATGCTGTCCCCCACAAGCCACCCCTTACCCACAAAGCCCTGCTCTCTTACGTGCTCCAGGGCAGCTGAGGATTGGACAGAAAACCCTGAACCCTTCAATGCCAGCTTCTATCGCCGCAGCCTAGATAATCATGGTTATGTCTTCAAGCCCCCACATCAGGATGGTGAGTATCCATCCAGCGTTCCCAGCAGCAAGTGGGAAGCCTCAGCCTCCCTGGCTACACAGCCACCGCAAGGCTTTGTTCTGTGAGCCCCCTTTCAAACCTGACAATGGCTGAGACTGGGACAGACGTGAAGAGAGGGATAGGCTCTGTCAGACACTATGCTGGGTGCTTAGGCTGGCTCAGGCCTGGGTGAATAGGGCATAGCTTTGAGCGGCGGTCAGTGTGGCTACCAGCCCCCACACCTGACTGCTCTACCTACACCACCCCAGCCCTATTAAGGCCGTTGGAGCTGGAGAACGACACAGTGGGTGTCCTCGTCAGCACAGCTGTGGAGCTCAGCCTAGGCGGGCGCACACTGAGACCAGCAGGTGAATGCCCAGGACAGAGGTGGGGAAGGAGGCAGTAGACAAGGTGTTGCTTAGGCAGGTAGCACTGATGGCCCTTTTCTCTCCCCAACAGTGGTAGGTGTTAAGCTAGACCTAGAGGCTTGGGCTGAGAAGTTCAAGGTACTGGCCAGCAACCGTACCCACCAGGAGCAGCCACAGAAGGTATTTGGGCAAGGGAAGGGGGAGTAAGAGCAGAGTCCCCAGGGACCCAAGCTTTCTACTCAGAGTGGCTTCAGTGCCTATAGGAAGGGGCTGCTGCAGATGTCCTGGGGAACCAGATATATAAGGGTGAAAGGAAAGAGAAATATTGGTGGGTGCCTTACAGTCCTCATTCTCTGCCCAGCAGTGCGGCCCCAGCAGCCACTGTGAGATGGACTGCGAGGTTAACAATGAGGTGCGTGTGCCCTGAGGCTGCTGTAGACCCCAGCTTCCCCCACTCCCAGACTTTTTAGTCCCAACTGCAACTTCTAGCCCATCCCTTAGCTTCAGCAACCCTACCCTGACTTAGGATTGAGGAAATGGCATACACACCCCCCACCATTCTGAATCACTGAAGTACTAGGGCCTGAAGTGAAAGGTCTGAGCTCCAGCCCCTCTCCTTGTTCCTCCCCCTTTCCTACCATTCAGGACCTACTCTGTGTCCTTATTGATGACGGAGGATTCCTGGTGCTGTCAAACCAGAACCATCAGTGGGACCAGGTAAGCATCAGGAAGAGGATAGAGGAGGGCATAGATGTTTGAGCTTTCTGGGGACATGACACTGCTAGCCCTGTGATGTTGGCTCCCTCTCGGCATCCCCAGGTTGGCAGGTTCTTCAGTGAGGTGGATGCCAACCTGATGTTGGCACTCTACAACAACTCTTTCTACACCCGCAAGGAGTCCTACGACTATCAGGCAGCCTGTGCCCCTCAGCCCCCTGGCAACCTGGGTGCTGCACCTCGTGGTGTCTTTGTGGTGAGCCCTCAGAGGTGCCTGGAGATGGGGGGGGCTGGGATGCCTGACCCCCACCTCTGATGTCTGAATTAGGGGTGACCTATGGTGAGGGGCAATAACAGCAGCCCATGCCCTTCTTTCCACTGCAGCCAACCATTGCAGACTTCCTTAACTTGGCCTGGTGGACCTCTGCTGCTGCCTGGTGAGTCCTGGGGGCTTGGATATAGAGATGGTGCTCCCTGGCCAAGAGGGGTCTAAAAAGTAATGGGGCAGGTCACTGGCCTCTGATGACCACCCCCACTCAGTGCCTTGTTCCCTGCAGGTCTTTGTTCCAACAGCTTCTCTACGGCCTCATCTACCACAGCTGGTTCCAAGCGGGTAGGTAGGGCTTGGGAGGCACCTCCTCAAATAACAGTCTGCCCCTAGAGCAGACACCCGCTCCACAGGGAGGGCGGGGCTTACGGCTGAGCCAGGTTGAAGCCCACCAGTCAGACACCGTGCCAGGGTCTGTGGGCGGAGCTGAGGCGCTCTGGGCCCCGCAGACCCTGCGGAGGCCGAGGGGAGCCCTGAGACGCGCGAGAGCAGCTGCGTCATGAAACAGACCCAGTACTACTTCGGCACGGTGAACGCCTCCTACAATGCCATCATCGACTGCGGAAACTGCTCCAGGTGCTTGAGGGTGTCCTAGAGATGAGGAACGGGGAGAAGAACCAGGGTGGGGCCGATGGGGCGGGGTGAAGTGGAGGAATGAACCTCCAGACCCCGCCTCTCGATGTTCCCTCCAGGCTGTTTCACGCACAGAGACTGACCAACACCAACCTTCTCTTCGTGGTGGCCGAGAAACCGCTGTGCAGCCAGTGTGAGGCTGGTCGGCTGCTGCAGAAGGAGACGCACTGTATCCTGCCCCCTCCCTCCTCCCCGCCGTCCGCATTCCCTCCTGTCCCACACGCCCCTCTATACCACCGACGTTGCCTCCTTGACTCCCCACCCATGCCCAGCGGATGGCCCGGAGCAGTGTGAGCTGGTGCAGAGACCACGATACCGAAGAGGCCCGCACATCTGCTTCGACTACAATGCGACAGTGAGCTGGGGGAATGGCAGACCTGACATCGCATCACCCTGCACCTGCCCGGGCCTGGCCGACCAGTTCCTTGTCTCTCCCCGCAGGAAGATACCTCAGACTGTGGCCGTGGAGCCTCCTTCCCGCCATCGCTGGGCATCCTGGTCTCCCTGCAGCTTCTTCTCCTCCTCGGCCTGCCGCCCCGGCCGCAGCTTCAAGTCCACACCCTCGCCGCCTCTCACCGCCTCTGAGCGCCAGCCCTACCCACACCCCCCACCCTGCCCGCCTGCCCCCCCACCCCTGCCCCACACTCCCACCTTACGGCCTTGCCCCTCCCCCACTTAAGGACCTGAGCTCGCCAGGCTCTAAGAGCCTGTGCCTTGGGGTGGGGGAGTCCCAAAGGAGGGCGCCACAGACTTTGACACCCAGGATATGTCTCACCGCTGAACTGTTCAAGTGTCCCAGACACTGGACTCATCCCAGTGGGCTGGGACAGGGAAGCCACATGTACTGGTGCCAAACCAGGCCTCCCCTGCCTGCCCTGCCTAAAGGCTTCCTTTGTGTAGGCCATCCTGCCTCAGCTGGACCCCTCTAACCAGGCCCTGCTGCCCCACCCAAGCCTAAACCTAGTTTCCCTGGGAATAATGGAGGAAGGTGAGATAACAAGTTTGAGGCCCATGGGCTCCTGCCCCCATTCAGGCCTACAGTCATCCCCACCCCCCCCCCAAGCACTACAGGTGTCAGAACAATCTCACAATGACATCAGTTTAGACACACCCCAGTATACACCTGGAACCCTGAGGGTAGAAACCAGACTCACTAGACAGACCCCAAAGGACACACATAAATGGATACAGAGACACACATACAATGGGGGGCTCACAAAGCCTTACATAGGGTGAGGGGGTACTGGTGGGAGGGTTGGCACAAGCATGCTCCATCTCCTACTCGCCGCCTGCCTCTAATCTGAGCTGCAGCCCAGCTGATCCTCCCATCTTCTAAAGCTGAATGTCAAACAGTGCCAAATGCTGGGGCAGAGGGTAAAGACCCCTCTGTCCCATCCCTAGCCACCAGTGTCCCCCAAGTGCCCCTCACCCTGCCAGGTGCTCATTATAACCATTTCTCACTAGTATCAAACCCACAGCAGGACCACATGCCACTGCCTGCACCCTTCGGCAGAGGAACCCCCACCAGACATCGCCCTTTGCCTTAGCAGGGGTGACTTGGTCTCTCCTGGCTGGGCCATCCCACCCCCAATCTGGCCCTTACACACTCAGGCCTGTGCCAATTCCCATGTCCCTCCCTCTCTCCCTCCCCCGACCCCCCCTCTGTCTCTCTCTCTCTTTCTCTCTCTCACACACACACGCGTGCACACACATATACTCACACTCCCTGAGCCCAGGAGGCCAAACCGCCCCTCTTCTGCTGAACACACATTTGCACTCACACATATACACACTGTGCACACACAGAGGCTGGGCCTTGGGCACATCTGTTCACACCATTCATTCTGGTCATTTCCCCCAAAGGCATCCCAGTCTGGGGGCCAGTAGGGGACTGAGGGCAGGGGGATGTAGCCACGGGAATCAATGGACTGGGAGGAGGGGGGAGGGTGATACATTAATTAATGGCTCCATTAATTAATGTCATGTTGCTTGTTGCTTTCTCAGTATGTTTGTATGGTTTGTGCCCGCTGCTGGTGCCAGGGTGGGTGTCCATGATGTGTGCCCTGCCTGGATGTCAGCTGTGTCCTGTGGGGGCGCATGTGTAACTGTAGTGTAGTCAGGTGCTCAATGGAGAATATAAAAATGAAACAAACATATACAGAAAAATAAATATATATTTTAAGTTTAAAAAACAGAAAACAGACAAAACAATCCCCATCAGGTAGTTGTCCAACCCCCAGCTGGGTCTGATCCTTCTCATCACCCACCTGACCTGGCTGCCCCCTCACCTTGGGCTGGGGGACTGGGGGGCCATTTCCTCTCTACCCTTTTTTTTGTTGTTGTTCTATTTTGTACAGACAAGTCGGAAAAACAACAGCGACAAAAAGTCAAGAAACTTTGTAAAATATTGTGTGTGTGATTCCTTGTAAAATATTTTCAAATGGTTTATTACAGAAGATCAGTTATTAAATAATGTTCATATTTTCACTTCAAACAGTTTCCATCCACTGTGTCAGCTTTGCGGTGAGGATTGGATAGCTATGAAGACAAGGGGCCATCACCCTGTTCTGCTGGGAGAAGGTCATAGCAATCCAGGTCCCTGGTGGCCATAGGGCATGATGCTTCATGGGCATGGTCCTTCCAGTGACTAATAAGATCCAGGCCCTTGACATACTTTATCTCACAAGCCTCCAGAAAAAAAAAAAAAAACTGTTTTTGAAAACTAAATAAATAAATAATCCTCCTAGAGTTTCAAGGCAAGGCCAGAGTCCGGAAGGAATGAAAATAGTAATGAGATGCCAGTTCAGGCTGAAGTCCGGCCACCTAGTCCAGCAACTGGGACCTGACACTCAGGTCCTGCTCCTGATGCCACACAACCAGAAGTTGGTACTTGCTGGTGCTCAAGGACCACATCCTACTATTCCAGGGAGGCCAAGTTCTGGCTCACTCCCCTATCCTGGCCAGGGGAGGCCAGAAGTCAGTTTTTGCAAATTCTCTGACAGACCCTTCACCCTTGTTCATTTTAACCCTAACCTTAGTTTGTGTTACAACTTTATCCTTTTCCTTTTTTTTGGGGGGGGGGTGGTACTGGGAATTGAACCCAGGGTGCTCTACCACTTAGCTACATTCCAGCCCTTTTTAATTTTTTTTTATCTTGAGACAGGGTTTTGCTAAATTGCCCAGGCTAGTCTGAACTTATGATCCTCCTTCCTCAGCCTCTAGAGTACCTAGGATTACAGGCATGTGCCACCGTTGAGAGAATTGTAACCACTAGTTCAGAGGTTTTCCAGAGAATGCTGTCAGTGCTCACTCTGCAACACTGACAGGACCAGGGACTCTGCTCACTTACATTTAGCTGGTGGTCATCTGCCACAATCTAAGGGTTGTTACTAGTGAATCCTTCCTGGGGCAGATGAGTATAAAGAGAGATGAAATATTTTCCCTCACAGGATGAAGGTAAAAAATTGGCTAAGGTCTAAGAAAGAAGGTGGTGGCAGGAATGCTAAAGATGAAAGGACATTCAAGTGTCAGCTACAATGGGGCTTTCTTCACTTCTCTGCTGGGATTAGCTACAGAATAACACCTAACCCTCAATCTCAAAAACAGTTCCCATACTTTGAAAGCCCCTCAGATTCTGGGGTAGGATCACCAAATAAAATAGAAAGCTCAGTCAATTTTTATTTTTTAGATAAGTTTCGTAGAGAAATGTGTTTCTCATATTACATGGAACATGCTTATACTAAAAAGTTTATTGTTCATCTGAAATTCAAATTTGACTGAGCACCCTGTATTTTTACTTACTTAGTCTGGCAACTCTCTCCCTGGTGTGTGGCATCCAGTGGAAACCCAGACCTCAAAGAAAGAGGGAGTCAACATCCTTTGTAAACTGGAAGGCTATGCACATATTGGGCAGTTGAAACTGAGATTGATGGCTGAAAGGGATTCTTCACTTTATAAAAGTCCCTTGTTATATAATTATTTTAATTTAGAATACATTTTTTAAAAGTAATTTGATATACAACAACAACAAAAGGCAAGAAACAACCTGTCTGAAGTCAAAATGGTGAGAAGTGAGGTCTGACCCTGGCTTGTGGGAAGATCTTTCTAACTCCAGCAATGATCAGAAGTCTCTGGTGGAGAGAAGAATCACTAAGGCAGCCCAGCATCACCCTTTTGAGGGAGGAAACCCTGGGTTCACTCCACTTGTAACAAAGGCAATCTGAATATCCAAGGTGGACTAGCATTCTACACTTTTGTCCCCTTTGTTTCTTAGGGTAGGAAGATTCTGTCATCTCCATTTTAAGGTACACGAAAATGATTTTTTAAAAGATTCAAGAATTTTGCCAATGTCACACTGCCGCCAAATGACGGAGCAAGGACTCCGGTCAGGTCCCATTCTTAAACGTTCCAGGGCTTCACACACTATTACAAACACCAGGACCATCTAACGTCCTCACCCACACGACTGCTCACAAGATCACACTATTATGTACAAGCACATATCATAAATGGAGTCACTCTCCCTGGAAAATTCAGCAAGTGTGTGACCTGAGGCCGTGCAGCCTCCTGAACCCCCAACTCTCAGCTTCCCGAGGTTGGCAACGCTCTCTCCTTTATGCACCAAGAACAGGCGGAAACAGCCCTCAGCTATACAATTCCCAGAACACCCTTCTCGATCACGGACAAGACCAGCTAGGCGCACGGTCTCCTGGGACTTGTAGTTCTTCCCAGAAACCTAGTTCCGCTCCTCCAGGACTGTAGCCAAGGACTCCGTATCCCAGCATGCCAAAGAGCCGGAAGACAGGAGCTCAGAAGGCATCCGGCCGCCGCTGCCGCCGGGGGCACGCAAGCGCAGCACCCATGTTTGTCGGCCCCTGAGAAGGGAGGAGGCAGGGCGAGAAGTCAGGACTGAGACCCAGCTGGAGCTGACCCTGCTTGACTCGGACTTGGAACGAGGTGCCCGTCCCGCGCGGACCAGAGCCCAGGAGTGGATGGAGGTGCCCCGGTCCTGAGAGCAAGGCTAGTCCAGCCAGCCTGGCGCTGGGCCTACCGGGCAGGCAGGCAGGCGTGCCAAAGCCGCCCAGGACCTTCCTAAAGGTCCGGGGCGAGGGGCCTAGACTCTGGCCAGGCGACAAAGCCCTTTGAGACCGGAGCCCGTCCCGACCGGAAGCGGAGCCTTCACCAGGGCGATAGGCCAGTGACTAGGCCGAGCCCGGGCCTCCCATCGGGGCCGGACTGGAACGAGGCCCCGGGGAGGCCCCTAGCCCACCTTCTTCACCTTCTCCTCAGGCCAACGCATACCAGGAAAATGCAACGCGCCCTACCTGGTGCCCGCCAGCACCTGGGGGCCATCCTGGCCAGCGCCAGCGTGGTGGTGAAGGCCCTGTGCGCAGCGGTACTTTTCATCTACCTGCTTTCCTTCGCAGTAGACACGGGCTGCCTGGCGGTCACCCCAGGCTACCTCTTTCCTCCCAACTTCTGGATTTGGACTCTGGCCACCCATGGGCTCATGGAGCAGCACGTGTGGGATGTGGCCATCAGCCTGGCCACAGTGGTGGTGGCTGGGCGTTTGCTGGAACCCCTCTGGGGAGCCTTGGAGCTGCTCATCTTCTTCTCGGTGGTGAATGTGTCTGTGGGGCTACTGGGGGCCTTCGCCTACCTCCTCACCTATATGGCTTCCTTCAACTTGGTCTACCTGTTCACAATCCGTATCCACGGCGCTCTGGGCTTCCTAGGTGGTGTTTTGGTGGCACTCAAGCAAACTATGGGGGACTGTGTGGTCCTGCGAGTGCCCCAGGTGCGCGTCAGCGTAGTGCCAATGCTGCTGCTGGCACTGCTGCTACTGCTGCGGCTGGCCACACTGCTCCAGAGCCCAGCGCTGGCTTCCTATGGCTTTGGACTTCTCTCCAGTTGGGTGTATCTTCGCTTCTATCAGCGCCATAGCCGAGGCCGAGGGGACATGGCTGACCACTTTGCTTTTGCCACCTTCTTCCCTGAGATCCTGCAGCCTGTGGTGGGGCTGCTGGCGAACTTGGTGCATGGTCTCCTGGTGAAAGTAAAGATATGCCAGAAGACAGTGAAACGCTATGATGTGGGAGCCCCATCCTCCATCACCATCAGCCTCCCAGGCACAGACCCTCAAGATGCAGAGCGGAGAAGGTACTGTGAAACCTTCCAAAATCTTGGCAAGCTAAGAGAGTACTGCTCAAAGTCACATGCCACCTGTTGAGGTGCTTGCTGTGCATAAGAGACCCACAGTCAGGTGTTGGGGCAGGTTCAGAGAGGAAACCCAGTCTGGCCTTGAGAATTCAGCATGTAGATGTCTGGGCTCCAGTGTGTGCTTTTTCTCACCACTAAGGCCATTTCAGTCTCAAGAAATACCATTTCTTTTGGTTCTGTGTGAGGGGCTAATGGAGGTATGCATCACCCTGGTCTTGCAGAGTCTCTAAATCCTAGACACTGGTACTTGGGAGCCAGAGATAACCTGTTGGTCTTTTTTCCCCTGGGGGGGGGGGACCAGGGAAGAAGGCCTGGGGCCCTTAAGAAATAGTCTGGTTACCCCAGTTTCCAAATACTGAACCATGTCCTCTTCATGAGTCTTAATTCAGATACATGCTTCTCTGCCACTTACTGAGGGAAGCTTAGGGTCTTACCAAATTTAACTTCCAAGCAGGGAGGTGTCACCAAACCCAGGGGACTGGCTATATGACCCACCTTAGAGGCCTGTGTACCACACCAGATAGTGGAGACCTTTGAATTATCTGTAAACTAAGCCATCTGCCGCATTAGGCATCCTGGCTGAATTATTCACTGGCTGCACTTTGGCCAGGACAAGAGAGGCTGTTTTTAATTCAGCTCTTAACTCTCCTGGATCTGTGGGCTCCCCAGAATTGTCCCAGCTTCTGTAAGATCCCCAGCTCCATTTACAACATTATTCTTGTTTTTTTTTTTTTTTGGGGGGGTGTGTTTGCTTGGTTTTTTTGTTGTTTTTTTTTTTTTTTAAGGTAATCGGATAACAGGGCTATCCTTTTGCTTTTGTCAAAGGTTCCTGCTTTTGCTCATCTATGAAACAGATTCCTGGCAGGAAGCTCTGTGAATTCAGTGGAAGAATTATTTATCCTTGGGCTTACTCTCCACTGGGGCAGTACACTTGAGTGTAAAACACACCCTTTCCTTGAAGGAGTTTCCAGCTGGTGGTCCAAGCTGATATGTGTGGGAAAACACTTACAGCATGCTGTGAGGGCCTCATTCAAGGCCCTACAGTCTAGTCTCTATGGGTGATAAGTTAGAGGTGTGTCTTGACCTTATTCAGTGAAGGAGACAAGGCCAGGTGGGCTGGACCTGGGAGGAACTAAGCTGCCCTCACCTATTCAGGTGGGACCTCTCCTTCAGTGAGAGGTCTTAGATGGTTAGGGTTGGCTGGATGTTCAGAAAACCTGCCCAAGCCAGGTGTGGTGATACATACCTGTAATCCCAATGACTCAGGAGGCTGAGGCAGGAAGATCACAAGTTCAAGGCCAGCCTTAGCAACTTATGAGACCCTGTCTCAAGAAAAAAAAAAAAAAAAAAACCTGCCCAAGGAAATGGACCAGAGAGTGGGTGAAGATAGGGCAAGAGGTAAGTTCTTGGTATAGCCTTAAGTAGTATAGGTGGGGGTTATTCCTCCAACCAGTTTGTTATCTGACTGCAAGCCACACTCAGACCCAAAGGGCTACTAAGTAGAAGGCAGGGTTTCCCATCTTTTTTTTTTTTTTCCTTTTTAGTTGTTGATGGACCTATTTATTTACTTATTTATATGCAGTGCCTCACACATGCAAATGCTTGTCTGAGCTACAACCCCAGCCCCCATCAAAGAGACATCTTTGACCCTTGTGAAGAAGTGACTAGCATGACACTATCTCTGGGCCTTGGCCGACTTTAGACAGAACTGACAAGGCCATCTCTGAGAAGGGAGCCTTGGCAGTATCATTGAAGAACTGTCCCATCAATGCAAATTTGCCATGTGCCGGGTTGGAGGGCAGGGGGGGAAGTATACTGAGTTTTCTGTGCTCATGTCCTTGTTGCTTCTCCTTATCCTTGGCATGGTGCAGGTTTTAGTTCTCTGCAGGAACTTGATAGGTTACACAGACTGTCCCCACATTGATGGCACAGAGAAGCTGAAGCATCAGGAGTGGGCAATGGCCATTGTTGGATGGCAGCATTGTTACTCTACCCTCTGGTGGCCTAGGACTCATGTGAATACCTTCTAGTAGACTTTCCCATCTCCCCCAAAGTGGTGCCTCCAAGGATCTGCCCCATGAAAACAGGCTCTGGCCTGTGCCCTACCCACATGGGCTTTTCTCTTCTTCACCTCTTGCAAGGACTCTGCTAAAAGCCTATTCTAACACAGGTCTTAGTGGTTTGGGGGATTCTCTAGAAATGAAAACATCAGAGTTAAGAGGGGTGTACTGATCCAAGTTGACTCTGCTTCCTGGGCTGAGCTAAGGGAGGTACTGAATTCCAGTCTTTCCCAGAGACCCTTGCCAGGAGGCTTCAGATACCCCTGTCCAGGAAAGGGAGAATTAATGAAACTGTCCTTGGATGTGTGTAAGTGCCCAAGCAGGTACCCATCTCCAGGGACTTGCCATTTCACCCATCTGCCCTAGATCGTTAGATCTGCCCACTCTCATGCATCAAATTCAGAACTATTCCTGGTGGCTGGCCATGGACAGACTGACTGGTGGTCAGTCTGGCAGACATCCAACTGGCCTTCTCATCCTGGAGGCACCCTGAGCTAGAAGGAAAGACTCCAGAGCCTTCTGGTCCTCATTCTGATGGCAGCATGGGCTGAAATTCAGTCTCAGGGGAGTTCTGGGTGCTGCATGGAGAATGGATTCTGGGGGAGGAATCTATGTGGTAGGGAGAGAGGGCAGATTACAGAGGAAGGGTGCAGGATATGTGCCAAGAGAAACCCAGAGTGACCTGTCCTCTCTCCTCTGGCCCCAGGCAACTGGCTCTGAAGGCCCTCAATGAGCGGCTGAAGAGAGTGGAGGACCAGTCCACCTGGCCCAGCATGGATGATGATGAAGAAGAATCTGGGGCCAAAGTGGACAGCCCCCTGCTCTCAGAAAAGGCTCCCACATCCCCAGGAAAGGGGGCTACTCCTGAATCCAGCCTTATCACCTTCGAGGCAGCTCCCCCCAAACTGTAATTCCAGACCACCTTGAGTGTAGCCCCTCCTCTCCCAAGCCCTCAATGATGCCTCTCAGCTACCCCAGGGCACTGACTGCTCTAAGAGGGAAGAAGGCCTGCTGGAGCCTTCCATGGCCACTTGCTGTCTCTCACCAACACTACCCAGGACCCTTGCTACCTGGTTCTGACTCCAGATAACCACTATCCTGGGCATGGGACCTCTGAGGCATCGGCCAATCCAGAACTCCATCTGAGGTGAGACTATACCTCAGCTCCAAGTGACTACAGGAACGCTGGTGCCACAGCTCCTGGGCTGGCCCTCACATCTGAAACTGGTTGCCAAGAGCCCTGAGCCTGTCAAGGCAAGGATTTGCATTTGCCAAAAATGTTCTGGGGGCCCAGCCAGTGCAGGAGCCAACACAAGGCTGTACATCCCTGCCCACCCCCAGGAAGACTGTGTTCATGTCAGGATTTCTTGTTTCCCTCTGCTGTGGCCGTGACTGCTTCTGGGCCAGAACAGCCACAGCTCCCAGGTATTTTCTACAGGACCACTTGAGTGGGCAACCAAGCCCAGCCTCACAGTATCAATAAAGCAGTTCTTTGAGGTATGACTCCTGCACTTTGTCAAGCTACCTTGTACAGCCTCACATGCTCAACTTAGATAGTCTTTACTCTGGATCCAAGGGCTCTCCATGTCAACTCCAGCTGGATAAAAAGCCCACTGCCCTAGTATACCTTCCTTCCACCACTATATGCCTACTGACAAGTGGCCTTCCCAGAGCCATTGCCTCAGAGCCTTATTCTTTTTCCTCTCTCTAGTCCCCATTTAGGAGGCCCTCTGCCCCTACCCAGAGGATCTGACAGTTGAGGTTCTCTCCATCATGAGTTGTTCTTGCCCATGACTCACCACAAAGACAGAGTATTCTGCTCTTGACACCTATGGAGATAGCCCATTCCCAGCTCCCATCCTGTCAGTCTGTATCTAGCCCCCATAGTGTGGATGTTCCAGGAGTCAGAAGCTGGGAGATGGGTAGGATACATAGCTGTACCATTCACAACATGGGAGGCTCAGCAGCCATATCCTAGGGACTTGTGTGATAGGAGAACTTCTACCATTCAGAGAGGGCCCCCACCTTGCTAAGCTGCCTACTTCTTAAAGCTGACAGCATTAGTTAGAACCACCTCCAACTCTAAGCTGCTCCTCCCATCAGTCTTTTCAGTCATTTTTATTCACTTTTTTCTCTCCAATAATTAAACCAGTACAATTATAAGCTGCATTGTTGTGCAGGCAGTCTTGCAATCCCAGCTTCATCCAGACACGTGATCCATATGCTCCTCTGGGATGCAGCAAAAGGAGAAGGACAGAGGAGGCACTCTAGCACAAAGAGCAAAAATGTCACATATGGGTCTCCTGCTGCTCCAGTGCCGAAGTATCCCCTGACCCAATCAGCTTAAAGAGTTCAGGAGGTCCCCAGCCCCAGAATGCTGAGAGGCAAATCCAGGCTTCCCTTGGCTAGGAAGAGTTCATGGTTGGATCCTCTTGCGATATAGGTAGGCATTGCTCACCTGATTCATAATGACCAAGCTGGTAAGGACAGGGCATAGCACAGCCAGGTACCAGGCTCCACCAGTGACAGTGGCAGTGAACCAGAGTGAGCACATGCCCAACAAGAGGCTGGTACTACCCAGCAGGTAGCCCACCAGCCCAGAAGTGGCATGGTATAGCTTGAGCTTTGCCAGGGGCCATCGGGGCAGCAGCTTGGGGTAAAGCAGCCCCACCCCACCTGAGCACTGCAGCCCTGCCCATAGCACGGCTAGCAGTCCTGCCTGTCCGTGCCGTGTAGCCAAGTGGGCTTTGCCAAGCTGCTCTTTGTGGAGGATGACAAGACCAAGGCCCAGCAGTGCACACAGTAGAGCCAGCAGCTGCAGCACCCAGTGGCAGCGTGCCCGGCCCTTCCGTGACAGGGAGCGCAGCAACGAACTCTCAGGAGAGAACACCAATAGTGCCTCGGTCATCAGGAAGGAGAACTGAGGAGACGGAGAAGGAAACTCAAATGAGGGTGCTGTCCCAGCAAAAAATAAATAAGAGGGCTTTAGATGATCCTCTTAGTTGTCAGTGCACCTGAGCTGATTCCCCTTCTTAATTTTCTCCCCAGCAAAACTACCCATTTAGTGGGGCAGAACATCTTCCTTAAATAGTCAGTGACAGATACCTCTTCACACATCTTCCTAGATGCTATTCTGAAATGTCATCTCTGTTGTTACCTAGCAAACAAGGTCTGAGATGTAGCACTTATAAATGATTCAAAACCTTTGTTTCTCTCCCATGGGGATGTATGGATACAATTTCTTGGCAAGAGCTGACCACATGGGTGCACTGTTTCAGGGAAAATAAGATGCATGTCACCACAAACTTAAGGTAAAAAGGATCATCCAAATGCAATTTCTCAGCTTCCTGCCTGGAGATGGGAGAAGTCTCATTTGTGTTTAAACCTTCCCATTTATCCTAGGTTTTTTGTTTGTTTGTTTTTGATGTATATGTGGTACTGGGGATTGAACCCTGGAGAACTATGTCAAGCACTTTTAATTTATTTTTTTGTTTTGAGATAGGGTTTCACTAAGTTGCCAAGATTGGCCTTGAACTTGCAATCCTCTTGTCTCAGCCTCCCCAGTAGCTAGGATTACAGGTATACACCACCACACCCAGCTATACTGGGTCTCAAATACTATGATTCAAGTCAGGAACATATCCAGACAAGAGTTGAAGCATGCAACTCCTCCAAATAGACACTAAATGTCCACAAGGAGTCAAAGGCTATCAGGGTCACCACCCATACCCATGCTCCCACCCATGAGAGCTGCCCATACCCACTACTTACAGCCAGAGACATAAGCACAGGGTGCCAGGAAAACAGGCCTGGAATGAGAAGAGGAGTCCTCATGGGGCTGAGGCAAGCAGAAACCAGCAATACCAATCCCTACAGGTTGAGGAATAAGGGCAGCCCATCACCTAAGAAGGTGCTGCCAAAATGTGAGCCGCGCCCCACTAGCTGCAACAAGCTGACTCCACACCTGTTCTCTCTTCCTAGACCACAGGCCATGCATGCTTGCCACTCCTCTCTCTCCTTCCCCCAGCATCTCCCAAGAGGTGCACCAAGACAAGAAAAGGATAACCATGGGCTCTGTGGGGCTTGGCCAAGCTGTCAGAGCCCCCACACCCATGTTTCATCCAGAGTATCATCCCTTCTACACAAAATATTCCTCAGTCAGCCAGCCCTGTTCCCAAGAGTTAGGCCCAAGGCTTCCTACTGCTCTAGCTCCCCCAGAAAAAGTTCCCTTTCCTTTCCCAGAAGTCAACTATGAATTCTACTTACTGGAACCAGGCCTGGCGAGCACAGCCACAAAGATGGTAAAGCCCAGGGCCACAAGGTGGGCTGCAGCCCCAGAAGCAGTGCGCAGAGCTCGGTAGATGTGCGACTCGGTCTCCACAGAAAGGGCCATGGTCAGTAGCCTGAAAACAAAGTAGCATTGGCAAGGGTCGGGTGCCCCAGTAGGACAGTTCCACACCTCTCGCTAGAAGAAGAGTTGCAGGGCAAGAATGCCACCCTTTTCCAAGAAGTTATGGTAGGAAAAAACAGACCAAGACCAGTACCGGAAATAGTCACAACTGGCCAGGAGAGGACTGGCAGCCCCGTCAGGATCTACCTGTTAGCGTCTACCTGCATCTAAATCGGTATTGATCTCTAGCCCACTTTTCAGGTAGGATACGCAAGGCTACATAAGACTACAAATTCCAGCATGCATCACCCTGTCGCTGGTGGGAACGCCAGGTGGGAGCGCGTGAAGCACTGCGGGAATTGTAGTTCCCAGATGCGTCCCACTTACAGCCTGAATCCCTTCGTGCAGTGCTCCCCACCAAGTGCCGCTAGCACGCTGTCCCTTCATGCTAGGAATCTGCCTACCTCACTTGCAGCGCCGATCAGACGTGGTGGTTTCCTCCAAAAAAATTGCTGGATAACCAGGACCCTACCGCGCACGCCGCCGCTCCGTCGCGGAGCCGCTTCACTTCCGGGTGCGACATCTACCCACCCGGGACTTCCTGGGAAGAGCCCCCCCAAGCCCCGCCTCTGAATCTCGCTACGCAGACTCTACTGAGCAGACGGCTTCTTGAGTGTGTATGTGTGTATGTGTGTGCGCGCGCGCGCGCGCGCACGACTGCGAGACACAGTGGCCCAGGCCTCTGGGCTGTTTTCTGACCAGTGTTCCCAAGATTAGGGGTGTCTCCGCGCGAACAACAAGGAGCTACGGACCCAGGACTCGCTAGCGCCATGGGCAGCAGCTGCCGCATCGAATGCATATTCTTCAGCGAGTTCCACCCCACGCTGGGACCAAAGATCACCTATCAGGTGCTGCCCGGGCTCTCTACTAGGCTGGGAGAGGGACACTCTCGGGAGCTCAGCCGACTGACATAGCACTGAATCCCCTTGCTGGGTATCTCTATCCATTCCCGGATAACCATGAGTAGAAAGGATAACAGACCCAGGTCCCCCGGCTCCTGTTGTGATGAAGGAAACACTATGTCACATGAGCCGTGCTTTGGGGAAATCCAGTTGTAAGGTTCAGGGGAGGTGTCAGGTCCCATGGAAGGTGGGGGTGAGTGGTCTGAGAGAATTCCTGGATTGAAACTTAAATGATGCATAGCAAATTAAAGATGGAGGAAAGTGTTCCAAGTATAGGGAGCAACAAATGCAAAAGCCAAGAAGCCTGTGAGAACACAGTATGTGTTTGAAAACACCAAGGAGTGTTAGGACTGGGTGAATGAGAGAGAGGAAAATGCTAGAGAAAAGTACTTATACCTGAAGGTGGTAATGGGGGGTGCACCTATGAATGCACCCTGTGCACTCCACCCAGTCCCAATGTCTAGTCAGGGTCCTCTTGCCACTTCCTTCCCCAGGTCCCTGAAGACTTCATCTCCAGGGAGCTGTTTGACACCGTCCAAGTGTACATCATCACCAAGCCAGAGCTACAAAACAAGCTCATCACTGTGTGAGGCCCTGGCTGGGTGTGGGATGAACGGGTCCCAAGAGGAGGGAACAGACTTGGGGAGGCCTGACTCTGTTCCATTCATCCAGCACAGCCATGGAAAAGAAGCTGATCGGCTGCCCTGTGTGCATTGAGCACAAGAAGTATAGCCGCAATGCTCTCCTTTTCAACCTGGGGTTCGTGTGTGATGCCCAGGCCAAGACCTGTGCCCTGGAGCCCATTGTTAAAAAGCTGGCTGGCTACCTGACCACACTGGAGGTCTGCAACATGATAGGCTTGGGTGTATGGGCAGGCAAAGTTGGGAAAAGTGTTCCTATGTCTCCAAAGTCTCCTTGATCCTGACAGCTAGCTCAGGACCCAGGCAGGGCATCCAGTTAGTCAGGTGCCCTGGGGTATACCCACTATGCTGTCTATGCTCTGTCCAGCTAGAGAGCAGTTTCGTGTCCACAGAGGAGAGCAAGCAGAAGTTGGTGCCCATAATGACCATCTTACTGGAGGAGCTGAACGCCTCTGGCCGGTGCACTCTACCCATTGGTATGGCCCAGCCTCTGCAAGAACAACAGAAGGGGAGGGATGGGAAAGTGGTAGAAGGTGAGCACAGCCTTTGGGGGGAAAAGGACAAGACTTTTGAATAAACTGGTGGCCAGGAAATAGCCAGAGGCTGAGGTGATGTCCTGGGTACAGTACATGATGGGGCTGAGCATGGGGGGCAGCCAACAGAGCTATCCAGCTCTCCTCCTTGTGTATATTCCTTCCCCTTTGGACCTCAGTTTCTCAGTCTATAAAAGGCGAAGAATGACCCTCCCCAGAGCCACCTACCTGCCTCAATGGATATTGGAAAGGCTGGATGGTAATTGAGGGCCTCTCAGGAGAGATGGCACTGAGAATATGGGTGGGGTTCCCTGCAGATGAATCCAACACCATCCACTTGAAGGTGATTGAACAGCGGCCAGACCCTCCTGTGGCCCAAGAGTATGATGTACCTGTCTTTACCAAGGACAAGGAGGATTTCATCAACTCACAGTGGGACCTCACCACCCAACAGGTGTGCCAGTTGTCCCTGAGTAGCATCACCTTGTCCTGGCCACAGCACTGGCCTCATCCTAACCCCACTAACCTTGCCCTGCTCTGCCAGATCCTGCCATACATCGATGGTTTCCGCCATGTCCAGAAGATCTCTGCTGAGGCAGATGTGGAGCTCAACCTGGTGCGCATTGCCATACAGAACCTACTGTGAGTGGGGCAATAGTCATGCCTAGCATAAGGTCACCAGCCAGGGAAGAACCTAGGTCCCTGAGTATGGACCTGGAAAAGTCTAGTCTTCAGAAGCTGAGCTCAGCTCTCTCTCTTAGGTACTATGGTGTTGTGACACTGGTGTCCATTCTCCAGGTAGGTGAATTTGGGATATGGTTCAGCAATGTCTGGCCCAGCCTCCCAGCCCCTCACTCAGTTCCCTGTGCCTTCTGCTGTTCTCTAGTACTCCAACGTGTACTGTCCAACACCCAAGGTCCAGGATCTTGTAGATGACAAGTCCCTACAGGAGGCATGTCTATCCTACGTGACCAAGCAAGGTAGTAGTGGGCTCTGGGGAGATATCTTGGGAAGGGGAGGGTCACTTGGTGAGCTGATCCTGGCACCCACAGGGCACAAAAGAGCCAGTCTCCGGGATGTGTTCCAACTGTACTGCAGCCTGAGCCCTGGTACTACTGTACGAGACCTCATCGGCCGCCACCCCCAGCAGCTACAGCATGTTGATGAACGGTCAGAGGGCCATTCCTTGGGAAATGAGGGGGTTGCCTGAGGGAAGGTAGACCCTCTTTGTCTCTCTGGAGGAACCCTGGGTCAGAAGAAGCAGGGTATTCCCAGTGAGAAGAATCGTGGCACTGCTAATCCAGGGAGGATTCCTGGGGATGATGAGCTTGCAGGGCAGTCTGGCTCTGAGACAGAATTGAACAGAAGGCTGCAGGAAAGAGTTGGTCTGGTTATAAGGAGGACTGACCAGAGCATCATACTTCTTTCCCAATCCTCACCCCAGGAAACTGATCCAGTTTGGGCTAATGAAGAATCTCATCCGTCGACTACAGAAATATCCTGTGCGGGTGTCTCGAGAGGAGCGAAGCCACCCTGCCCGGCTTTACACAGGCTGTCACAGCTATGATGAGATCTGCTGCAAGACAGGTGGAGCCATGCAGTGGGGCAGACAGGGTGAGGTCAGGGCACTGTGGGTAGGCCAAGATCACTGACCTCACCTCCCCCACCCCACCCAGGCATGAGTTACCATGAGCTGGATGAGCGTCTGGAGAATGACCCCAACATCATCATCTGCTGGAAGTGAAACTTTCCTGAATGATTATATTGCTATGGATACTCCCTCCTGATAAACCACATAGGGACTAGACAAGTAGGCTAGTTCATATCCTCTGTAGGTTGACTCTTAGTTCTGTAAATAAAATCATTGACTTCAACCTGCCTTTATTCATTTATTTATTTTTGCGGTATGGGGATTGAACTCAAGGGCACTCTTATCACATCCCCAGCCTTTTATTTTCAGTCAGAATCTCTCTAAGTTGCCCAAGCTGGCCTTGAACTTTTAACCATCCTTCCTCAGCCTGTGGAGTAGCTAGGATTACAGGTATTATAGGTACCCCAGCTGCCTCAACCTTTTACTGAGTACTGCCTCCGCTGTGGACAACCTAGCCTTAAATGAGCCAGTCAAGGTCCTGGCGCTCTGGAGCGCCATCTGGTGGGCGTGGCCAGCAATGGCCAAGTGAACATGCTGTTGTAAACTGAAACAGCAAGAAACAGAGGTGATGAACAGTTTGAGTTCCGAGGGAAGCAGGGATTGCTCTGGATTAGATAAGCAAAACAGACCTAGGTGAAGTGATTTAAACTGAGCCTTGAACTAGGAAAAGTATTCCAATAGAAGAAACAAATGCAAAACCCTGAAGCATGTATAGAGAACCCAAGGCAAGCCCATGGGACTGGATCATGGGAGACCAAAGAGAACCAAAAATACAAGCCAAAGACTTCCAGGCATGGGCTGGGGTTGTGGCGCAGCGGTAGAGTTACTAGCCTAGCACAGGTGAGGCCCTGGGTTCGATCCCCAACACCACATAAAAATAAATAAAGATATTGTGTCTAAAAAATGAATACTTAAAAAAAAAAAAAAAGACTTCCAGGCATGATGACACATGCCTCTATTTCCAGCTACTCAAGAGGCCAAGGCAGGAGGATTGCGAGTTTGAGGCCAGCCTGGACAATTTAGCAAGATCCTGTCTCTAAAATAGAAAGGGATGGGGAATGCAGCTCAGTGGTAGAACTTTCATGTGCTAGGCCTGGGTTCAATCCCCAGTACCCTCACAGCGCTCCGCCGCCCCCCCCATGTCTAAATCCTGAGGTAGGAGAAAGGCAAGAAGTAGAGCCTGCAAAACTCTGGGAAGCCACGTCTGACCCAGTATTTTTTTTTTTGAGAATTTTTAATATTTATTTTTTAGTTCTCGGCGGACACAACATCTTTGTTGGTATGTGGTGCTAAGGATCGAACCCGGGCCGCACGCATGCCAGGCGAGCGCGCTACCGCTTGAGCCACATCCCCAGCCCTGACCCAGTATTTTTTTGCGGGGGGTGGCGGGGGTGATTACCGAGGATCGAACTGGGGCTGTCGGCCACTGAGCCACATCCCCAGCCCTATTTTGTATATTATTTAGAGACAGGGTCTTACTGAGTTGCTTTTAGCCCCTCACTTTTGCTGAGGCTGGCTTTGAACTTGTGATCCTCCTGCCTCAGTCTCCCGAGCCCCTGGAATACACCGGCAGTATTTTTTAAATATATACACTTTTAATGGTAGATGGACACAATACCTTTATTTATATTTATGTGGTGCTGAGGATTGAACCCAGTGCCTCACACATGCTAGGCAAGCACACTACCACTGAGCTACAACCCAGCCCCTAATCCAGTATTTTGAGGGCCAGAGATAATCGCAGAACCGCCCTCCTGCAAAAGAGTAATGTCTGATGTACACCTTTAAGAATCCTGGCTGCTGGGAAGGGTCCAGAGTGGAAGTAGATCTAGTGAAAAGGCTGATGCAGCTACCCCCATTAAAGTAATAGCAGTCGGAAGTAGAATGGAACGACGTTGTGGGTCCTGGGCAATACTTGGGGAGTAGATCCAACTGGTGATGCTGGGTACAAGAAATAAGGAGGAAGCCATGAAGAGGAACATCCAAGAGGATCAAGACAGTCCAGCTGCAGGAGGAGCTGGCGGGGTCACTGGCTGACTTGACAATTAGGGAAAGAGTTGGTGGAGTTCAGGAGAGACTTCGAGGGCGCACCTGGTTATGAGGAAGAAAACTTTATGACAATCGCAGTAGGGTTACTATTGGCAGCGGAGTAGGCGTGGCAAGCGGGGGCGGGGGTGGTTCCAGACTCCAGGAGCCACCGGCATAGGTGGACCCAAGCTTCACTGCGCAGACGCCAAGCTGTTTCCATGGCGGCGAGGACGCACGCGCTCCAACCAACAGGCAACTGTTCGGTCCCAGAGTCCAGTCCTGCTGAAGTCTGTCCTCCTAAAGTGTATCATCTCCTCCGCCCCAACTGCTACCCGAAGTCAGCCAGACTCTGGCCCCAACATGGACCTGGAATTGCTGCTGCCCGGGGAAGCTGACGTACTGGTGCGGGGTCTGCGCAGTTTCCCCCTGCGCGAGATGGGCTCTGAAGGGTGAGGCAGCGGGGTCAGACAGAGTTACCAGGTCCTTGAATGGGGGGAGCTTGGGACTGACATTGGGGAAGGGGTTGCTCAATGTGAGGGGGCACCCAGGTGGAGAGGCAAAGCTCTTCAAGATAGGAGTATATGGTTCCTAAGCCCCTTCTGGATCCTCAGGATCAGATTTGGCTTCAATAGGATCTAGCCGCACTTCTGATGCACACATGTGTGCCCAAATACACATACATACCCTCTGTAACAGGTGGAATCAGCAGCATGAGAACCTGGAGAAGCTGAACATGCAAGCCATCCTTGATGCTACTGTCAGCCAAGGCGAGCCCATCCAGGAGCTGCTAGTCACCCATGGGAAGGTACCCCAAGGTCACAGACAGTATTCCTGCCTTCCCTCCCACAACACCCACTACACCCCTCGGGAACACATGGATGCCTGGTCTTCCCTCTGGCCTGGTATAACTGTTCTCCCTGAAGGGGAAAGAGGAATGTGTTGCATTTCCTTTTGTCCCCCAATTAGACAAGACCCAGGCATGCCAGACCTGTGTTAGGACATGGATTGATTAGGGGGGAAGTCATGGACACTAGAACAGCTTAGGCTGTAGGGGGGGAAACCCAAGTGTTAAAGTCACCCTGAACTGCCAATAAGACCAGAGGAGGACTCCCCCTGAAGTGGAAGTGGTGCCTTGACTTGAAAGGAAACAGCCTTTCCAACATGAGGGTTGGGGAGTTAGAAAACAGGGAGATGACCTGAGATATCACTTGACAAAAGATTTCTCCACAAGAAAAAGGCAGATGGGCTGGGGATGTGGCTCAAGCGGTAGCGTGCTCGCCTGGCATGCGTGCGACCCGGGTTCGATCCTCAGCACCACATACCAACAAAGATGTTGTGTCCGCCGAGAACTAAAAAAAACAAAAAATAAATATTAAAAAAAAATTTCTCTCTCTCTCTCTCTCTCTCCTCTCTCACTCTCTCTTTAAAAAAAAAAAGAAAAAGAAAAAGGCAGAGCACACTATTAGGGGATGGGGAAGAAATAGGGCACTGTAAAGGGCCTTGAGTAAGAATGAGACTTAGGCATACAAGAGCCTTGGAGGGTCAGAGGACAAGGACAAGAAGGGAGGGCATGAGCAGGAGGGCTAGCCTAAAAGAGATAGGGAGGAGGGGATAAGAGTGCAGGTGCAGAGAGGCAAAGCAGTTGGGACAGAGCAAGGGCTAGTCACAGGTAGCAGGGGAGTGTCCCCATAGATGTTGGAACATCTGGAAATAAAGGTCTAAGATGCAGGAGAAAGTCAGGAAGGGTACTTGTAGGGCCTGGGAGAGTCTAGAGACCTGGGGAAGTTTGAGAGATGAGCTAACAGAGCCAGGGATGGGAGGGTTGCCAGGCAAAGAAGGTCCACCTCATTCCTGTCCTTTCCCTATGCTTCAAAGATCCCGACACTGGTGGAAGAGCTAATTGCAGTGGAGATGTGGAAGCAGAAGGTATTCCCTGTGCTATGCAAAGTGGAGGACTTCAAGCCCCAGAACACTTTCCCCATATACATGGTGGTGAGTTGGGTCCCTGGTGCACACCTCATCCCTTTCAGAGCAGAGAGCCATGGCCCAGGGAAGACAGAATGCCTGGGTAGTCCCTATGCCTGTCTTGCAGCCCAGGCCCTGTCCTCCCCTTTTTTTGATAGGTACACCATGAAGCCTCCATTATCAACCTCCTAGAGACTGTGTTCTTCCACAAGGTAAGGCACTATTCCTGCCCAAGGGCCACTGCTCTGGGGAGGGCTTATTTGATTGTGTCCATGTGGGGAGGACATCAGAGACAGAAAGTTTCCTCTCCTCCTTTCCCTCAGGAGGTATGTGAGTCAGCAGAAGACACCATCTTGGACCTGGTGGATTATTGCCATCGCAAACTGACACTGCTGGTGGCCCAAACTGGCCGTGGTAGCCCCCATGAGGAAGAAGGGCCCCAGGATGGTACCCCTATGCAGGTGGACTGAGGTTTCCTGGGGTTAGCAAAGCCTAGATGTGGGTTTCCCAAGGCCTGTGCAGCAGGGGGTGGTCTAGCTTGAACACTGTGTGCCCCCAGGAGCTGCAGAAGCAGGCAGAACTAATGGAATTTGAGATCTCACTGAAGGCTCTCTCAGTGCTGCGCTACATCACAGATTGTGTGGACAGGTGGGCAGTCCTCCCAAGTCTGGGGCCTACAGTAGAGGGACAGAATACTGTGCCTATAGCCTCTGCTCACCTCCCTGCCTGCCACCCCCACCCCTAGCCTTTCACTGAGCATCCTGARCCGCATGCTCAGCACCCACAACCTACCCTGCCTCCTGGTGGAACTACTGGAGCACAGTCCCTGGAGCCGGCGGGAAGGAAGTAAGATCTTCCCCCCACACCTACCTAAGTCCCAGCCCATTGCTACTAGAACATCCTTCAGATTAAAGTGGGAAACCTGCAGTTCAAACCCTACCCCACCCCCAGCCCACAGAGTTTACCAGAATGCTTCACCCAAGATGGGATGAGACCTTGGCTTTGCAGCAGGCAAGGCTCATGAGTCCACTACTGAGCATTTATCCTGCTCTGGGGCCAGCAAAACCACAACCTGGGCAAGTCCTGTGGCCCTCCCACCTTGCCCAGCCTGTGGGAAGTTCCACAGTACATACAGCTGGCTTGATCAAAGATGGCTACATCCAGTGTGCTGGGTCTTCTCCCCAGGCAAGCTGCAAAGATTCGAGGGTGGTCATTGGCAGACAGTA